GTTTTAAATTTATCTAAAAAATATATTACATTATTTTACATATATGTATGTAATTTAATGACTTTATATACAAGTAAAAATAGAAAAAAAAAATTGATTTAGCATTTTTCTACAAATTGTCAATCTCCTCTTGCAAAGTATTTAAATGGAGAAGTGAAATAAGCGAAAACAAATTGAGTTGACAAAACTTCATCGTACAAGAAATGGAGATTTCATCTTAGAATCACATTTATTTTGCATTTTAATTTTTGTGGTCATATTTAGTACTCATTTATTTTAATACATAATTATTAAACATATATTTTAATTACTTGTGCTTACAAATATTGAATTAAAATTTAAATGAAAGGATAAATAATATATAATTTTTTATTTAGTAAAAAATGATGTGTTCTTTGTTAAGAAGAAATAAGTGATGAGTAAAACTAGAGTATAGTTTATGCAGGTATATTGAATTATTTATGTTAATACTTCAGTTTTATACTAATAGAAGTTAGTCTGAGTGTCGAACAGTTCAGTATTATTTAAGTAAAATTTTAAATTTAAATTTTTGTATATATAAAAAAAATTTAATAATAGACTCACATGCCACATTTAAGTGTGTAACTATAGTATAAAAAATGTATAACACCGACTTATGATTTTAGGTTATATTTTTAATTATATTTTTTTAATTATTGCATGTTAAAACTTTAAAATTGATTCAATTATTTTTAAGAATATTATTTATTTAATAAAAAAAACTTTTAGAAAGTTGAAATAAATACATAATTATTAGATATATAATTCTATTAAATAATAAAAAAATTTATTATATATAATAATCCTATCTGACTTGAATAAAAATTATTTTATATGAAAAAATATATAATCTAAAAAATAATTATTTTATTAAAAAATAAATTAAATACACACTAAATGTTTAAATGGTTGTGTTTTTTCAGTATTATAACTCATTTTATTTTTTCATTTACGTTTTTTAAATGGTAATTTTTAAAGTTTTGTTTGAAAATTAGTTTTGAGGGAAGAAGATGAAAAGAAAAAACTGTAGTTATCCTTCTTTTAAAAGTTTTCAAATGAGAAAAGTAAAATTTATGAAACTTTCAAAATTTTTCTAATCTTCTGTTTTTAAGTTTATTTAATTTATATTAATTCTTCGTTTTCCTTTCTCTTTTTTCCCCTTATTCGTTAAACATGTTCTTCTCTTCTCTTTTTAAACTCTTTTAACAGAGTTTATAAAAAAAGAGAAGAAAAAATTGTTCTAATAATAGTTCTTCCTTATATACAAACTGTGTATTATCGAATAAAGTTGAGTAATTTGTTTGTTCTCACGAAAAACAACTTTTAGTATGATGCCGCAAAAGCTAACACATTTCATTTTAACTCAATAGACTTTGGTGCAGTAATGATAAACAACTTCTCGAAAAATACAAAACAATTAAAAGGAAATCGAATTTATTATTATTAAAATATAATTGATTAATTTTATTTTATTTTATAATTACTTAGAGTGTATTAATTGTGAAAATAGTAGAAGGTTATTCTAAAATCAAAATTTATGTTATTGAATAAAAATATTTAAGAAACTTTGGCACTCTTTTTTTTTTCTTTCATAAGTAAGCAGGCATGGATCTCGTAGTAAGTAAATCTCTTTAAAAGAAATTATAGATATTTTTCAACTACCCCATGCACATAATCAGTATAATACACACACGTACATATGTTAAAATTTTAATTTTAAAATGAAATAATGGGATAGAAAATAAATTTAAAATAAAGAAAAACTTTTGCACTAAAAATTAGTTATATAGAGTTTTATAATTAATAATTTGTTTGGAAGAGAGTTTATGACAAGTTATGAAAATAAGATTATAAATCTTATATGTTATAAATCATCATTTTTTAAAAAAAAATACTAAAAAATACTTAAATAAATCGTTAAGCATATAATAAAAGATATATGCATGATGCACACTCCAATTTTGTACAGTGATTTTTAAAGTTAACGATAAGGTTTTTTTATAGAAATATTTAGTAACTTAATATCAGAGAATATATACACGTTAGGAATGAAAATAGTAGCGAATAAAGCAATAGGACAAGAGAATATGGTTCATGCGATTGGGTTTTCTATCCTTCACTTTCCACGAGTCTGTTGGTTGCCAAATGTAATAAATTAGAACTTTTGTTAGCCACAAGTGGATGCCAAGCAATTGATGTCATTGAAGTATATGTAGCACCTGGTCAAAACTCAAAAACCTATCAAATAAGCAAAGAATTCCATTTGAAGGGAAGTTTTAATTTAGATCTATCATAATAGTCCTCCACATTAAACCCAACATAAATTTTCAACTACTATTAAATGAGTTGATGAAATCTTAAATATAGATATTTGATATCATTCCAGACATTCCCTTCCCATTTCATGGTTATAATGCATTTTCCTGGTCTCTCATAATAAATACGAATTTAATTCCTTTCCTTCATATATATGCAGACGAAAGTAACACTAATTTGTGGAATAGGATCGAACCCGGAAATGTTGCAGCTAGTGAACCAGAAAATCAGGCAAGAAGAGATCTATATCCGATTGGAAGCATTAGTTGAGCATCACTATCTGAGTGCTGTTTAGTGGCAAGTGACACATCGTTCAGAATATTGCCAGCATACTATATAGCCATGCTGTTGGCTTTCATACCACAAATTTTAACTTGGTTCATTAATCAGCGATGGTGACAAAAATCCGACAAACCCAGCAGCGAGAGCGAAATAACTTAAGAGTAGCTTGTGACAGTGTATTCTTTTCTGTCCTTTACATGCAGCTCGACCTGTGATTACTTAATACAAGTTTTAAACACGTGAAAAGTGGTTTTCTTTATTTAGCAATATGATTAATTTAATAAAATTTAGAATTGAGGCCAAAAGAGCTAGTCGTCAAGTCAAGTGGTTAATTAATTAGGAGTAATTACATCATACCAGACTGTATATCAACATAAGTAACAATTTGAGTGTTTGAATAGTCATTAGTTTCAGTTCGTCTGTAATTTATGTATCTCACTGAACGTTTGTTTAATTGAAATAAAGGTGTTTATAAGTAACTTATTTTATTAATTTGTAACATTTTTTTTATTATTTAACTAGTATTTTAGTTTCTATCTTATAGTTAATTAGTATATTTCCATTTTTATTTTCAACTTAATTAAAAATATTTTCATTTTTTTGTATTGAAAAAAATTATTATTTTAATAAGTATAAAAAATAAAATAAAATAAAATATACCATACTCTTATCTATCATATTTTTATCCAACTTTCAAAAAAGCATTTTTGTTTAATTAAACATAGATCTTTCAATTATGAACTAATTTGTCCATATTGATTAGAAACAATTTAGTGATTTTTACATTTTTAGAGACTAAATAAGGTTTAACAAAAAAAAAAAAATCTTAAAAACTAATTTAGATGTTTATTTAATGGGTATATATAAGTTAGTTGAAATTCGAAGTTAAAAAGTGAACTGAAAGTTCATAAGTTAATTGATTAAATTAAAAGTGTTTAACAAATTTAGTTATTAAACTAGCTGATAAATAAGCATATCATTAAATTTACTTGTAGTTTAAAATATTTTTATTACATAAAATAATATGAATTAATTTTATTATTATTTTAATATTTTTATATTATAAAAACAAGATTTAATGTTTTATTTATATTTTAATAAGATTTAATGACAAAATAATTTAGAAAAAGTTAACCATGAAAAAATTATTGATAATAACGTTTTAAAAATTGAAGGGATAGAAGGAGAAACTGTTGAAAAATAATAAGAGTAAAAATAAAAAATTTACTTCAGATAATAGATGAAAAGAACATTTGAAAAAATGCTAATGATTATTTATTTAATTTATCTTATTAAATAATTTTTGTTATCAAACAAAATTATATTTTAATTAATTGAAACATCATGAAAAACAAACTAAATATCACTGCTTCCTTAAAAAGAAAGGTTATTGCTTGATAGTGTGCATGGTCTCACTTTGTGGAGGTGAGAATGGGATGACCCCATGGATCTTTGACTAAATTGTGGTGATGAAGATGGAATTAATGAGGCTTTTCCCTACAAGTGATGAATCCAATACCGATCTCACTTCTTCTGACACCTTTTGGTTTTGATTTTGTAAGTGGCATTCTCATGTCTTCACAGTGGTCCTCTCTCGTGTGGAGGTGGGGATGCCCCCATGCATGAAACTTTGCTCAAACTGTAGTGGTGAAGCAAGAAATGGTCCTCCCTCTACAACTCATCAAATATTCATTCCCTGCGTCTCAATTTAAATAATAACTATGTTTGTCAATTAACTAGATAAACCCTTAAGCAATATGCTTCTTAATTTCTTCCTCTTTCTCGTACTTAGACAAATTTAGGTTGGGAGAATTTTGTTAGCTTGATCCACTCCAACCAAGTGATGGAATGCCCAATGCCATATTTAGACAGTGAAGTTTAAAATTAAAAAATATATATTATAAGGTGAACTACACAGTAATTTTTATTTAATTATTTTAGTTTTTGGGTGTTGAGGTGAGTTACAAGTACAAGGGAGTTGAGTCACATGAAAGGAGGGCCCACAGGGAATTGAGCAATTAAAAAAATGAGACCCACATGAAGAGGGGTAGGATGAGGAAGTGTGAATGAATGGACCCTCCCTTCACATGGGTATGTTCCACTTTTGCCTTTCCTTAAAGCCAACGCTCCTTATTTCTCTCCCAAACCAAAAGTCTTTTCCTTTGTGGGAGAGTGACTCTGTCCCACCCTTGTCTTCCCTTTGTGGGGACACTTTGCTTTAAACTTGCTGCTCCTGCTACCGACACCTTTGCCTGTCTTTGTCCTTAATTTATGCGTTCAAACAAAACTCACACCATCCATGTTACATTATGCATATTACACAGAATACCCTTCTTTATCTTCTTAATATATATCCCTATAAAACATAACCTTCCACACTTGCATCACATCTCAAGTCTTATCATCTCACAAGACACTCCTCCCCTAGAACCTTCATTACTTCCTTGTTTCTATTCTATTTTGAATAACAAAGAAATAGAGAGGATTTTGGTTATATTGGATATACTCATCTGAATCACTTGGAAGATGGAAAGCACTGTGGCGTATGAGAGTGATCTCAACCTCAAGGCAACTGAACTTAGGCTAGGGTTGCCGGGCACAGAGGAAAAAGCAGTGCCTGCAAGTGTTAAGACCAACAAAAGGCCATTGACTGAAACATCTGAGGAGTGTGGTTCAAAGGGTGCTCAACATGTGGAAAGTGAAGCACCCCCTCCTGCCAAGTGAGTTTAACAAATTATTTTTAAGACTTAAAAAGCCTTTTTTTTCTATCTTATGTTGTTGATGAGCAGGGGTGCGTCAAATTAATATGTTTGTGTGAATCTGAAATTTTTGATGAGTTGAGTGATTGATTGAATGTATTGACGTGCATGACAGGGCAAAGTTAGTGGGGTGGCCACCAATCAGATCCTATAGGAAAAACAGCCTGCAGGAGAATGAGGGTGCAGGGATTTATGTGAAAGTGAGCATGGATGGAGCTCCTTATCTCAGAAAGATAGACTTGAGGGTCTATGGAGGCTACACACAACTCCTCAAAGCTCTAGAAAACATGTTCAAGCTCACCATAGGTGAGAAATCAGTCCTATATATTGTTTTTTATTCTGATGAAAAATGAAACTGCTCTTTTTTTGTGTGTGAAAATGACACGGGTTTTGCTTTTCAGGGGAGTATTCTGAAAAAAAAGGTTATAAGGGATCTGATTATGCACCTACATATGAAGACAAGGAGGGTGACTGGATGTTAGTTGGAGATGTTCCATGGAAGTAAGTGTTACATCTTTATCTATGGTTTTTTTTTTCTTGTCTCATGTTTCATCATTATCTATAAATTGATCTTAACCTGACAGAACCGTACTTTTTTCTGCAGTATGTTTGTGACTTCTTGCAAAAGGCTAAGAATCATGAAAGGATCAGAGGCAAGGGGTTTGGCTTGTGGTGTATGAGAAACAACTAAAATTACTATGAGCATAAAAGTGTTTTGGAGTGAAGGAAAACCATGCATTCAGCTTGGGTTCTCGGAACTGAAAGAGGGTTTTGAATCACTGTAGTGTATGCTGTTAGCATACCTATATACATATGGAGTTGTACTTTGAATCAGGGGGATGGAGGATAAGGTGCAGTTTCTTTCCACAAGTTTGGCAACGTTAATTTCTTATGGTTATTTTAGCATCTGTGGTGGGATGCTATGCTCTATGTATGCTGTTGTTCTCATTGGTCCTTTAAAGTTTCAAATGAGAAATCTCATAATGATTTCAAATGAATTGTTTTGTGTAAAAAAGGGATAGAAAGAGGTTATATGTCTTGTTCATCTATGCTTTTTGTTTTATTTTGTATTGATACAAGAATACAGTGTAATATACCAAGTATTCGTATGTATAAATTTAATTTTCGTGTTATGAATGGAAGCAAATTATATATGTGCGCGCATGACCATTTTCTGCTTTCTAATTACTTTAACGTGTCATTCATAAATCTATAAGCCTTTCTTAATTGAAACTGAAAAATCAGATATATTGTATCAGTGTTTTGGAAACATATCTCATACATCATCAAATGATTAATACCCGATGTCTTCGGTCGTTTTCCATCTTTCACATTTAACATCAAATGGTTAGAAGATAATATGTTGCCACACCCTTTTATCTAAATTAAAATTCAAACCAAAACAAAACAAAATGGCATGAGTAGGAAAAAAAAGGGAATGCTTTGTGGATGCCCTACTCTTCAAATGGAGTAGCTTTCATTTTCGTCATAAAAAACTAAAGAAAGAAAGAAAATGTATATTATTTGAATATTTTTATGATGAGATGAAGAGAGAGAGAGTAGTTCCAACTCATCCTATATATATATATATAGCTTTCCTTTTAGTTTGGCTGAGTCATATTTCTACGTTGTAATTCAAATTACTCAAAACTTACTACAAAAGATATTAACTAATTTTGAAGTAAAATGAATATTTTTAATAAAATATTATAAAAAGGTTTTGGCTATTTTAAGAAATATTTGTAGAGTTGGTTCAAAATTATAGAACCAATAATAAAATTATTTCAAAAATTTAAAAAATTTTTTTTTGGAACCAAATAAATTAAAAATGGGTAGCTGGTTATAAATATATTAAATTTCTCTAATATCAATATAGTCAAAGTAATTATATTATATCGACTAATAATTTATTGTAAATAGCTTGTAGTAGAAAAAGAGACAATCCTAATTTTGTATTGTTAAAATTTTGTTTATTTTAAATTTAAAAAATATTATTTCTTGAATTTTTTCATCTTGTTATGATGAGTTAGCTTAATAGAGTGAGTGTCTACTAAAATAAGCTCATAAAATTCCCTCTTTTATTACGTAGAAGAAGAGGGAATAATATAATAATTATAGAGAAATATCTTTTTTATTACTCTATTCTTAGGTAATGAAAACTACTCTAATTTTATGGCTATTATTAGAATATATTCTTCTTTTTCAACTTATTCTGAACATATTTGCTTTGTGACACTTGAAGATCCTAATACTATAAATTTATTGTCAAAAGTAATATATATACAATTTAAACAAAGTTCTAGTGACTTTCTTTATTACAAGGTTCTTCATTTTGCAACGTGATTTTCCTTGTTTTTTTCCTCGATGTCCGAGTGGTTATTTCCATAAACATAATTATGCGACTCCAAGGTTTAAACCATTACATTACTGGTAGTTGTGTTTTTCAATTAAATGCTATGTAGGTGTTTACCAGAAAAAAAATAAATCAAGAGAGGTGACTTCTGATAAATGTCCTTGATTTTATTTTAGTACAAATGGGTCCTCTCTTCAATTCCACCTGCAGACAATCCCAACATATCCTGGCAATTGAGTCCTCACCCGAACCTGACCCAAAATTGTTGTGTATAAGGAATCTCGTTACCCTACAAATATAGACATTTAGACATGATACAGTGAGGTTAGGTAAGAAAATGATATATGGGTGGGTGTATATCATGATCTTCAAGGAATTAATCTTATCATATTTGATCATGAAAATTAAAAAAAGTCAAGGACAAATAATGCAGAAGACAGTATTAGCCTTTAAATTTAAATGTCGAGACTTAATGCAGAGTTTGATATCAATTGAGTGATAAAAACCCGCGTTTAACAATTTATGTTAGTCTACAGATCATGATGCAGTGCGGTTGAGGAAGAAATGGTTAGAAGTTAATTATAAGGATTTTTTATATTTTTTTATTATTATTTCTTTAGTCAAATTTAAACCTCTAATAATAAAAAATATTTAATTTATTAAAATGTAATTATATTAATTAATATATAATTATAATAAATATATTTGACACCAGGGACTGGTGTTCTTTTTTTCCTGCAAGGAATTTTGTAATGCTGATCTAAATAGAAATTAGGGAAGAAAAAAAAAACCACAAAGAAGCATGGCGAATACTGCAGGAGACGGGCCTTACTGCGAATAATGTTTGTATTTAAATATGAAAAAGGTTTAAGCAGATCAATTATTCATATTATACATAAAGTTCTTAGATCAAAGAGCAAAACTGTGCCGAAAGTTTTCAGAATTAAATGTTCAAAATTTGATTACATAAAAGCTGGTTCTACCTCGTAATTATGCCAATTTAATTATATGAATGAATAGTGCAGTCTAAACTTTTATTGATTAGAAGTTGAAAAACCGTGTCTGCTCAGAACTATTACAGAGTGGACTATATGCAGTTCACCTTATTAGTCTTTGCATAGATAAAAACGTTAACGGCGGCGGCAATTTTATAATGGGACGCTCTTTTTGAGGTAAGTGTGCACAGATGAGTTCATGAACTTCGTTAAAATATATTGTTTTGCAACTTTTCCATATATGCAGCATCTTCCTTATATATATATATGTGACGAAAATGTTAATAAAAAGTATATAATTTAATTTTTTGAGAACATGAAAAAAAATGTATTTATTGGTTAAGAAAATTTAGAATTATTTTTGTTATAAAATATTATAAGAAGACATGGAATGATTCTAATAATATAGTAGTATTATATAACAGAAGAAGAAGCTTCGTTTTAATAATATAATATGATAACGTTTTTATTTTATGTTTTGCGCAGCGTCGGCCTCTTTGGAATGAAATTGCCTGCTTTCTTTCTTAAAAAATCAAGGACTAAAATAAAAAATTATTCACAATTTTTTTAAGAATAATACTTTAGATAGATACACAGATATATAGATAAAGAAAGTTAACATTAAATGTCATTGAATTTAAAGTTATTACACACATGCATATAATCATATTGTTATATTGTTACACAGTTTATAAACATAATTTGTATCCTTCAAATTTATCTTCTAATATAATTTGTTCATTTTTTCAACATACAATATAACATTTTCTTAATGTAATGGTAAATTTCCTTTTTTTTTCACCCTTTCCTATTGTAGCTATGCTTATGCTTAGTTAATCAGATTCCTTGACGATATGTCTGTAGTCTACCCATCAAATATTAACATTCAGACGGATAATTATTCATTTTCTAAGAAAATCTTATCGAGCAACGATAAAATCTGTTAAAATTAGTAAACAATATTTTGACTAATATTTTATTTTGTTATTCCAATGAGAACCCTTGGCATGAGATGAAGGTGCACCACTTTAGATCTGTGTTTTAAATTTGTTTGCTTTTATCATTTCATAGGATGCTCATAAAGTTATATATATTGGTGTAAGCATATTGCTTCTTTTTAGAAAAGTTTTGGGTAATTAATTTGATTAAACATACAAAAGGTTTGTTAAATCATATTCACCAGACATAACTTCAGTTTTATGGCAAATTCATAGTATAGTCACTTGTTATGCAAGGAAATATACATAGTTTATTATCCAAGTCTACCCTGGTGGCCAAATAAACTACACAGACAACCAAGGTCTGTCAATATCAAATTATATTATGAATGTGGCTAAGAAATTTAGATCCCTCTTCTCGGCAAGGTTTAAGGAAAGGTACCCTAAATAAAATTAATGGAAGTGCTTGTACAATATTTTATTGATGGAACAGAAACTGTCTTTACTATTGCACTCTGTAGCAGGGAAGAAAGAGATTTTTGGCCAGTAAATGTGCACAAGTACAAGAAAATAACCCTTACACAATTTAAAAGTGATGCTAAATTGTTGTTGAAAAATGATCATGTGCTGCTTTCCGAAAAAATAAGAACATATGCTCCCACTCTCATGTGCTGCAAAATAACTAGACGACATGTTATAATGAGAGCCGATCAATGTCAGAAAAGACTGATTCTAGCAAAATGCATGAATTAGAGTAAGGCAATGACTCTTGAAAAAAAGAAGAAACTTGTTAAATTGTTTTATGAATTTATTTTTTTAAAACTTTATGCAACTTTTTAAAGGTAAATTATTAGCGAAAAATGTCAACACATAAGCGTGTGAAATTACGCATGTGATATGAAGTAAGGGTCTTTTTCCCATCCTTTGGTCAAATAATGGGCTAGAAATTTACCCTTTTCAACTCTTGAACCAAAGAAATGGTCACTTGGCTTTGACGTAAAGGCAACATCATGGTGAGTATTTCGGGGACTTCGAAGTTGCCTCTAGGTCTACTCTTACCTCAAGTACCTTGTTTATTGGATAAATATTTTATATTATTTTAAAATACATTTTAACTTTTAACTTGGGAGTTAGGGTAGGGTAGGGTTAACCAATTTTTCGTATGAGAAGCCACGCCGTATAAACAAGTGCGCCCACAAAATAATGGTAAGGGGTCATAGACTCTCGTGTCAAGTATATATTTATACTTTTAAATCTTTGGTTTTTTGTTGTCCTCGAACTACAAGATTCTTTATTAATTATTGTTTTGAGGACAACCTTTTTAGAATTTCATAGAAAAGTCGCCTTGGTGGAGACCGGAGACCCATCCAACTTCTAAACATGCATTAAAAGATTAATTTTCCCCTCTTTCCTTTGATAACTTTGATCTCAACGGCCTGGTTGCAGCAACTTGATACTGTTTGGAACTGACCCAAAAAGAAGAGAGAGAAGCATAAAAGACGCTTTTCCGTAAATTTTCAACTGGTGAAAGAGTAGCAAAGAAGTACAAATAAATATGATAAAACTTCTTGCGAAGAATAAAACCTAAAAAAACCTGGGCCTGATGTGGCAACTCTTGTTCAACTTTTGGTGTGGCCTTTCTCTTTTGCTGACCCAAAAACGAAGTCTGTTCTTTTAAGTGCCACACGACTAAAAAATAAAAGAGAGTAATATCGCGCCGCAAAAAGTAAAATAAACACTGTTCGGAACAAGTGTAGGAAAGCAAAAGGAAGAAATACTCCCTTCTACGGAACCGAGTTTGCATGCCGCGGAATGTTAAATAAACAAATAAATGCTAAGTTGGTATTCGAGATTAGTGAACATTTTTTCAGGTAAGTTCAGCTTATGAAGAAAAGGAATGGAATTTTTGTCCATTAAAAGTAAAGGATGTGATACAAATATTTCTTTTAGAATATGAATTGACAGCTCTATCCATTAAATCATGTAACATCATTTTGAAGATAACATCATATTTTAGATATATCAAAACATTTATAAGAATATAATTTTATAATTGAAGTTTATTTTTGTTTAAGGAAGTACAACATCCGAAAGAATGAAGTTGATTGGCGAACCATGTAAGTCAGCAAATGGATGACTGAGATCTGCAATTCTATCAGCAATTGAAATTATGACCTAATTTGGAGGATCTGATAATACCTATCTCATGTACACTAGGTTAAGGAACCATAGGAAAAATGATACAACAAAAAGAATAAGATTTCATTCTTTTACACTAGCCTAATGATTAGAAGGCAGGATAATGTCTCGGGCCTTCGGTAGCACATTACATAAGAAATACATCTAACGGGTCAGTTCATCCATAATTCGACTCTTTCAGCTCCATGCTCATTGTATCAACAGTTGCCGAAATTATCAAATGCATGCTTTCTCAATTATGGACAAACTAGCAAAAGTCAAATTTATATTTCAGGTGAGTGAGCCTGAAGAAGTTTAAGAAGTACAACTCTTTCCAGTTGAAATACATCCTTCCCCATCAATTTATGTATTCCTACATTGTTGGGATCAGCACCTTTATGTATTAGCACCAAAACTCCCCCTCACTTCAAGGAACAATGTCTGATACATGGGTCTGACTTTCATTATGGTCACTGCTGTAGTCTCGTAGCAATTGATCAGAACTCTGGTCAGGAAGAACCAATACTGAATGGCTTTGCAAAGTAGTTGATTCTTTCCGTTGGACTTGGATTGTTTCATAATCATTATGTTCATCAGTTGAATGCGCGTATAATATACCGAACTTCTGCCCATGATTTAGTCCTGGGCAGAAACCCTGCAAAATTATAACAAAATACTCAACATGAAAGAATTGCTCCAAATTGGGTTATAAAATAAAAATAAAAAACCCAAAATACAAGCGAATGCAAATCAGATTTCTATTGAACTATCCGCTATTTATTCTTGAATGCATCCATCATTTCGTTATGGCATGATAAAACTACATGTTAAGTTCGGCTTATTTTTGTTAAATTTGTGCTAGTGCTTTGGATTTCTCAAGATTTAATCATTTCTAAGCATGCTAAAAGTCTGAAAAACGTAAGATCAATATTGAAATTTTACACTCATTCCCTTATGCATCAGGTTATCTTTAGTATAGCTTAAACCAAAATGGATAGGATGTTAATACAGTAACCCATGTGGTCACTGGTCTTGTCAGGTCATAATGTCATTTGACAGAATAAACTACTTCGTTTTTATTCGACATGCTGTTGTAAGCACCTAAGCAATGTCTGATAGTTGTAGAAAATTTCCAGCCCAGCAGCATGTTAGAGTTATCAAATATACCACACAGCAGCCATCTTGACATTTCCTAGTTTTAAACTAATTTTGAACTTTGAAGAGAGAAGACGGAAGAGGTAGGGTAACAGACTCTTGCAAAAACTAAACCACATTTTATCTTCTCACAACATGCAGAATAAGAAAAAGAAAATATGCAGAGGAACCCAAATTTTAACAAGATAACTTGATTTATAAACTTTCAACGTAACATGAAAGAAGAGGCAATAGAAGATTCAAGTGTAATATTGAGTATGAGTCATATGAATATTGTGAAAGGAGGGAAAGAACCCAAGAGTGATGGGCAGTGAGAGTTACCTTGATCAAACCTGAAACAGCACTTGGCTCAAAAGTAGTATAGTCCGATGAATATGTAGCTTTAGTCCAGCTTCCATGAAACCTACTGTCATTGGATTCTTGCTTATCTTTGTCAGCCTCCGACACAAAATAAGTTTGTCTCAAATTACCACTTCTACAATAAGCCCCATAGTATAAACAATGTTCTCTCACTAGGGAGATTTGAGGTGTAGCAGGCAGTAAATGACCTTCAGTGCTGAATACGTACCTGTTCCACAGAAAAATGTAGAAACAAGAACTTCATTTTATTGTAAAAAGTTGAACCCCTTAGTAAATGCATAAGCTCACTCACTTGTACGGCCCAGTTTCCACAAGGTTATCAGGACCCACAGCCAAATCAAATAGAAGCCACAGATACTTGACCTAATTGTAACATAGGTTAGTAGCAGCATTTCTGTTTTAAACAAATAACAGAAGAAAGACAAAATATGAAAGGCAAAACAAATGCAAATGGTAGTAAAAGGCACTGTTTATAAATGAAGGAAAAGGGAAAATTGGAAACAAAATATTGAACTCGACAAACATAAAACCATTCCTGGACTTCCACTGTGCAACTTCAGCTTTTAGGAGTGTTGGTTCTTGACACAGTATGAGAACCTCATCTAAAGTCTTAGGCCCTGTTTGAAACACTTCTATGTTTACAGTTCTTAAAATGTGTATCAAAAACTGGTCTATAAATTTGTTTTATGTTGTGCTTCATTTATTATAAAAAATGTCATCAATGAGCGTGCCTAATAATAATTTTGCCACGTTTCTGTTGCATTTCAAAAACAACTGACAGCATCTTTACACTATAAATCTTTTGATTTTTGAGATTGATGGTTTTCAAAATAGTTAGTATGAAAACAGTCACCCAAAAAGGTTTTTTGTTTTTTCATTTTAAAAACTAAAAGCAGTTTTTACAAATAGAAAAATAAAAATCAGTCGACCTATATTGACCAATGATCCTCAACAAATCGAAATGTTATCTTCCTATTTTTGTGAAATCAGGAGGGTTTATAGTTCAGAAGGAGGGCTTGTGTTGTCAAAATTAAGTCATGAAGAATTTATACTTACTGTTTCTGCTAAGAAGAAGCTCTCCATGTGATCTTCCTGTTTGTGATGCTCGACATCTGAAATGTGACAATATCCACAAGGGCATCGAGCTCCATACTGTAAACTAGCAACCATGTCCCTCCCAGCATCGAGATATCTACAAAGGAACACAAGAAAGAACTAAGCATCAAGTCAAATTGTCAACAAAATACAACTTACGTCACAGCTATCCACAAAAAAATCATAGAAATTCAACAATAAAAAGCAATCCCAACTTCTTTGTTTTTCAGGGAAAGCGGAGAAAAAAATCTTAAAAGTAGACCACTTGATCAATGATAAGGCATCCTCTAAAACCAAAGAAAGAGTAGCAACAACAAATATACCAAAATACAGTGAAAATCAACCATTCATAATGATTAAAAGGGTTTTTCCTATCCAAAAGGATACTTCCTGTAGATTTTGCTTGCCAGGGAAAACTGATTTTCTCACTATCACTATTAATCTACCCCGATAATATGTAATGATATTCTCCTAAGGCACAAGAAGAAAACATGAAATCATTTAGTTAGAATATATATAAAAAATATCTCGATTATCTCTTTAGTTATTTAGAATATCTTAGATAATCTCTTAGGATACGTCCGGTATCAATATATGCCAACTAGACTCAACTGTCCTTATTCACTCTCATTATACATCCTAACAACATAAGAGAAGAGTAATTGCAGAACTATATCCTAATAGAATGAGACAGGAAATTATAAAAAACTGAAACGGAAAAAACAAAAAAGAGCCTGTGCTAAATCTCCCAAACCACCCTTGTGAAGACTGCTTCAAGCCATAAAGAAAAGTAGTAGGCAACAGACAAGTAAACAAAGGATCTTTAGAGAGAGAAAACCTCTGTAGTACTTTAACATTGTTTACAAGTAGTGTTATTATATTAGTAAAAGAGGGCTATATACAGTCATAGTCCAATAATTAATATAACCAAATCAGACATAATGAGCTAAATTTTATGATGCTAACGCAATAACACAATTGAAGAAATGTATAGGCAGACCTAGGATCTCTGGTAGCTTTGTACAGCCAATAGGTGCTCTCAATTAACTCAGGCCGCAATGGGTAACTCTTTTGTCCATGCTGATATAATGTGAGGAAAGAAAAAATTATAAATACCTTATAAATATTAGAGACAATAATCAAGAAAAAATCCTAAAAAAATTTTAAGATGCTTTCTGTTTGCATGATAATATATTAGACTTGAATAAATGTAAACAAAAATGAAGGGCCATCAACTGAATGGTTGGTTATATTTTTAAATTTCCACAATCAAACTGTCATTAACTGCTTGAATTGCTCAAATATACAACACTGACAAGAAAAACCAGTTAAATCCATAGTAAATAAAACCAGTTTTAGCATCAACATTCATTGCAAAGTTCTATACCCCAAACTGCTTTCTCTCAATATTATGTTTAAATCTAACTTACAAAGTAGGGTTCTTGTTCTTGCATTACCAGGCAGCTAGCATTCTATATTCCTATGGAACAATGTTTTTGGGACTCTTGATAGTGTCTTGCTATGACGAAATTTTTATGTTTCATTTTAAATGCTTTGCCAAAGTGCAGTCTAAGAAATTGTTTGGATGCATTTGGTCAAAGCCAAGTACTCTGATCTGCAAGGATTTCTCTATTGCTTTAAACTTATTTTGTTTGTTGCTTCTCTTTAGGATCCTACTCACTATTTTAAGAATGTTGCCATTTCAGATATAGACTGGGCAGCCTTGTTGCGCTCTTGCTTTTTATTTTCTTCATTCTATCCTAGCCTTTCAGTGTGGAGGAAACCCCCAAAGTATCTTTTGCCCATTTTCTCTCTAATGAGATTCTGTTTTGATAAAATGAAATTTAGTTACTACATGAAGAGATTTTGAGCTAGAAGTTTATATTAAGAAACTTGAGTCTAACTCACTCCCAAAAGCTAGCTCATAGGAGGAGGACTACCCAAGCCCTTATAAGTAGTATTGTGACTATATTCCTAACAAATGTAGGATATCTTAGTACATCCCTCATCGAGGACTAGACATCTATGGATGGCCCAATAGGATTTAAATTGAATAGGGCTTGAATACTATATTATGAAACTTGAGCCTAACTCACTCCCAAAAGCTAGTTAAGTTTGCAAGACTAGACATGTGTGGATGGCCCAACAGGATTTAAATTGAATAGGGCTTTAATACTATATTATGAAACTTGAGCTTAACTCACTCTTAAAAGCTAGCTCATAGGAGGAAGACTAACCAAACCCTTATAAGGAGTATTTTGGTTCTATTCCTAGTCAATGTTGGACAATCTTAACAATTTATTATAGATAGGTTTAAATTTGCAAGCAACAGATTACCAATTGCCCCAAAATGCAACAAATAGAAAGAAGGCTCAAGCTACAAATAAACATTATTTTCACAGCTATATTGGTCCTCAGGTGTTAAAACTAATTATACCTGAACACTAAGACTAGCAAGATTAAATCCCTCAGGCGTGAAACCATATCTTCTCCAAACACTCAAGAAGGCAGCATGGGTGCGGATTGCAGGATTGATATCTCCAGCTAAAACCTTGCAAAAATACACATTTTTAGCCCTAACCATGAAATTATTATTTATCCATAGTCAACTAAAAACATATATTAAAAACAAGAAAAATAAAAACCTGAAGGCCAGGCCAAAATGCCTGCAGACTGTTAAACAATGGCCAGACAATAGCAGCAGAATCCATATTCACTTCTACATACCTGGAAGCATAGACACAAAGCAAAGTTTCAAACATGAAAAACATTTGAATATAAAAATACTTCTGCATTTCAAAGAATTTTAAACAGCAAGTCAAGTATATTTACAGGGTGGCACACACAGCCACAAGCTTTTACCAAGGATCATGGTAAAGATAATGCATGGCAGCAGCATAAGCTTCTTGGAATATATACAAGTACTCCTCATCTCCAAATAATAAATAAGCCTGAAAGGTCAGGTATGGAAAACAAAATCAGACAGCGCCCGATGCAATATCAGCTAACAAAGTAACGTTCCAGCCCTCAAATAGGGGGAAAATAACAAAAACGAAAAAAAGAAATGGATTTTTTATAAATTCATTTCACCTGGTTAATAATGTCCAAAATTTGGATTTTTCAATTTTCCCCAAAATGGTCTTTAAGCAAATTTTTTATATGTTGTAGAATCATACCTCATCAGCAAGCTGAAAAGCAACAATAAGTTTGCTTGTTCAAGCAAACTAATTTTAGAGTTTGTAAACACGGACATATTTTGGTTTGTTAAATTAAATTAAACCGTAGTCCTTTGGCATGATCAAAGGAAACTAGGAATCAACACTTCAGAACAAATTGCTCCATAAGGCTTCACACTAAATTTCTGTTACTAACCTTCAACAGGTACTCGTAGAAAGAGTCAATACTTGTTCCTATCCCAGCATCCTGCAAGAAGGAAAAGAGATAGCTGTAGTTGCTGCTGATACACAAAAGTAGGAAGAATCTATGTCCTAATTGAAAAGTTGGTTATATTCAGGTAGAGAAAAATCACTGGGACATTGACAGATGAATGCAAAATCTATAAATTTTAAAACGACAGAAAAGTAAAATTTTGGATATTTTTTGCCTCTTCACAAATTAAAGCTAGGAGACAATAAATAACTGTTAAATATATACAACTTGAATGCTTCAATAACAGGCCAAGCCAATATCTAATGAAAGAGTAACACAAACAGCTCTATAAGACAAGTAATTAACTTGGTAGAAATGAATAGCAATAAAGTAATTAACAGACAAATAAGAAAGCCTGAGAAAAAGTCAGCCATCATCAATAGCCACAACTTTGTTTATGACAACCCTAAAATCATTATGCCCATTATATTTATTCTGATCACCTTTTGTTGCAATATCTTCTCTGTTTTTAGAGGAGTATTCTCAACTATTTCCTATTTATCCTTTGTTTATTTCCCTGTCTATTATTTCCCTATATATTGTATATTCCTTTCCTTATTTACATTAGTCAATTATATACAGATCATTAATTAGGAAGGGATTTGTCACCTTTATTTAATAATCAACTCTCCTTAATTACAGGAGAATTTTTGCTGTACATCTTGTATATATTAAGGCAGTTTGCCTCTAATGAATAATAGCACAAATATTCTGTTCAGAGCCTTTATTGTTCACCTGTATCAATTTTTTTAACACCAAGGGCCCTCTGATTCCAGATAGCAGGTGAAGGTTCAATAGTTAAATACTCAGTATAGTTGAATACACAAGCTAAACTAAACCTCTGCCAAACGGTGCATGCATAGACTCTTGCACTTCTTTGACTACACTACAAGTAACCACAAAAGCACAAAAACATTTTTCTTGTTATTACACTACATCCTTAACACTCCCCCTTGAGCTGGAAGCCTACTGATAAGAACCTCTGGAGAACCCCACCACAAAAGCTAGTTGTTGCAGTTGGAGAGCCCAAGACCTTGTAAACCCCACATTAGAATCCCATACTTCCAATATGGTACTCAAGTCTCATACATTACAATTGGATCCTAACACCTACTAAGCTTTCAGAATGTCAACAAAGGAAACCCAAATTAAGATAAAAGCTAGAACATAAAAACTTCAGGAATGTTCTCAGTTTATATCACAATGTTGCAATGTCCCCTAGATAGGAGGTCTTCAAGTCATTGGGTCCTTGATGGGGGTAACTTGGTTTCACGGAGGAGTAAGATGCAGTGTGCAGTGGCTAGATTGAGCAGAGTCTACTACATAGCTATTGCTCAAGCTGCAAATGAGTGAATATTGAATTTATCAATTGATATGAATAGCTAGAATAGACGTATTAATATTAGAATTTATTTTAATATTATAATAACAGACTTGGCCCAGTAAGGTTATATATGTATTTTTATAAATATAAGAGTCTCTACACATTGTAGAGTATCCAATTCCAGCACACTAATTTCTCTCTCTCTCTATGCTCTTTCTCTCTTAATTTCTACATGGTATCAAGAACCTTCTAGGTTCTCTCCTTGGTCGCCATCGTCGCTGCCGCCACCACCACTGCGCCGCCGCTGACTAAAAAAAAAAACAGCAGCTTCAAAAAAGGCCAACCATGATTGCTATGGGGATGAAAAATTTCTCTGGTGATTAGAATATGCAGTAATGCAAAGTTTATAATTTAAGTGTGGCATTACAATATCTGAATGTGACAGCCAGGATGTGCAGGATGCACAGCACAAGGGGATTGTTATGGAGATTGTATCTCTATCCAAACTTACCGAAGTTAAGCTGGATGGAGATGGTACGAGCTATATGGAGTGGAAGTATTTGGTTGAGATTAGCCTAGGTAGAATGGGAAAGGATAATCATTTGACTAAAACAGCATCTATCAATTCTAAGGATGTCGACACATGGAAGATACGCGACAAAAAAATCCTTGCTTTGCTAGTAAACTTTGTTGATAGGCGAATACAAGCAACTATTACCCATTGCACAACAGTGAAGGAGTTGTGGGATTTTTTGTAATTTAGTTTTGGAAAATTTGATAATTTGAATCGGTTATATGCTCTCTTGCAGGAAGTTTATCGACCTAAACAAAATAAGCGGAAGCTAATGGACTATTTTTTTTAGTTTAAGAAGCATACTGAGGAGATACAATCTCTTTTAGCCTGCAAAACTATTGATGAGATGATAGCGCACAAAAGAAACTCATGGCTTTGAGTTGGCTTTCCGGACTTGATCCAGAATATGAGGTAGTTCGGTCTCAGATTCTATCAAACAAACAGATTGATAATCTTACCAATATTTTCTCCAAAGTTATACAGTCTTCCTTTGAGGAACTCGAGCACTACAAAAAGTGAGTCACCTGACCACTTTGCCTTAACAACCCAATACTGTCACCGTGATGGTCGCAATGGTTGTAGAAGTGGTAGAGGTAGTCGTGGCCGTGGATGTAGTGGAGGTCGTGGTATTGTACAGTGCTACAATTATGGCGAATTTGGCCATTATCGGAATTAGTGCACTCATCCTCCATAGAATCAATCGTTCTTTCACTCACAAGGTAATTTCCGCTTCGCTAACTCGATGTCTCAACCTGATACAGCTACTCAAGAGAAAGAAAGATGTACTGTGCGTATGAGTGATGAGAAATTTATTCAGTATACTCAGTTTCAGATTTTCCAACAACCGTCTACATCCTCTATAGCCACTTTGGTCCAAAAAGGTAATCCTACTGCATGGCTTTCCTCTTCCAGGCATTGATTATTGATTCTAGCGCTACTGATCATATGACTGGGAATTCAGATATCCTTTCTTCTTTTTGTCTACTCAGTTCTCATTCTTCTGTAACACTTGCTAATGGTTCTACTGTCCATATTAAGGGCAACGGGTGTACCACCCCAGTTTCAACCTTACCTTTATCCTGTATCTTATATTTGCCTTAATTCCCCTTAAATTTGTTGTCAATTAGCCAAATCACTTCATCATTAAATTGCTCAATAACATCCTTTTCTGATTCTTGTGTTTTTCAGGATCTGGTGACACAGAGAATTATTGGTAAGGGTAGGGTATCTAATAGGCTGTATATATTGGAAGAAGAAGGACTTCCATAAGCTTCTAGTGCATCAAGGAATGAAACAATGTCTTCTTTCCAACTTCATTGCCGTTTGGGTCATCCGTCTTTAGGAGTTCTTAAGAAATTATGTCCTAGTATAGAGTCTAATTTTTATTGTGAGTCATGTCAGTTTGCTAAACATCATCGTACTGTTTATTTACCTTGTTTAAATAAAAAAGCTCATGCCCCCTTTGAAATTGTTCATTCTGATATTTGGAGCCCTTGTCCAGTTATTTTTAAATTTGGTTTTAAATATTTTATTACCTTTGTGGATGATTATTCTCGTGCAACATGGTTATTTTTTATGAAATTGTGCAACATGGTTGTTTTTTATGAAATCTAGATCTGAAATTTTTTCTATATTTTGTAATTTTGGTGCTGAAATTAAAACTCAATTTAATACTTGTGTGCGCATTCTTAGAAGTGATAATGCTAAATAATATTTTTCTGCATCTTTTACTAATTTTATGAATAAACATAGCATACATCATCAGTCTTCTTATATTGTTACCCCACAACAAAATGGAGTAGCTAAGCATAAAAATCGTCATCTCATGGAGGTAGCCCGTGATTTAATGTTTGAAATGAAAGTTCTTAAACTTTTTTGGGCTGATGTTGTTCTTACTTCTGTATATTTAATTAATCGCATGTCATAATCTGTGTTATCTTTCTTTTCTTTACCTCTTAAGGTTTTTGGCTGCACTTGTTTTGTATTTGATGTTCGTTCTCAGGTAACTAAACTTGATCCAAAGTCCCTCAAATGTGTGTTTTTGGGTTATTCTCGGTCACAAAAAGGTTACCGTTATTTTTCTTCTGATCTTGGTCGTTATCTTATTTCCTCTGACGTGTCTTTCTTTGAAGGTTTTCCATTCTTTAAGTCCTCATCTTTTGAGTCCATAGATGAGGTAGATGAACCTTTCTTGACTTATACTTTTGCCCAATCTACACATCCTGTTGCACCTCTGGCTCCTATTGATACAAGTTTCAAGTTCTTTGAGCGGACATACTCTCGCCGGCCAAAACAGCCTTCAGATGATATGCTCCCCGTGGCTAATGATATTCAAGATGATACTCAACCTCGACCATTATCTCCTCACGTGTCAACAGATTCTATGTCTGACCTTAACTTTCCTATTGCTATCCGAAAAGGTAAGAGATCTTGCACATATCCTATTTCATCTTATGTGACGTTTGCTCATTTATCCTCTACATTTAAATCCTTCATGGCTAGTGTAGACTCTCCCTCTCTCTGTTCCTTAAGACCCTTGCAAATGCCCTCAGTCATGATGGTTGGAGACATGCTATAGAGGAAGAAATGTTAGCTTTTGAGACGAATGACACTTGGGATTTGGTTCCTCTTCTCGAGGGCAAATAGACTATGGGTTTTAAGTGGGTTTACACTGGATGGTTTTGTGGCTCGTTTGAAGGCACGCCTTGTTGCAAAAAGGTATGTCCAAACTTATGGCATTGACCACACTGATACTTTTTTCTAGTTGTTAAACTCTCATCTGTTCGTATCTTCATCTCTCTTGCAACTATGCATCATTGGCCATTATTCCAGTTAGATATCAAGAATGCATTCTTACATGGAGACTTACAGAAAGAGGTGTACATTGAGCAACCACCTGGCTTTGTTGGTCAGGGAGAGTGTGGAAGAGTATGTCATTTAAAGAAGTCATTATATGGCTTGAAACAATCACCTAAAGCATGATTTAGGAGATTCAGTGACGTAATTCTGGAATTTGGATTAGTGAGGAGTGAGAGTGATCATACAGTGTTTCACAAACAGACTAACCACGGTTGTATTTTACTTGTTTATGTTGATGATATTATTATTACAAGTAGCAACAAAGAAGGAATTAGCAACCTAAGAAAATTTCTTCAAACCAAGTTTCAGATAAAAGACTTAGGAATTCTAAAATATTTCTTGGGTATTAAAGTCATGTACTCCAAGCAAGAAATCTTCCTCTCACAAAGAAAATATGTCTTAAACTTATTAACTGAGATCGGACTAAAAGGAGCTAAACCATGTGAGACACCTATGGAGCCAGGAGTGAAACTGACAGAAAATGGAGTTCCTTTTGCAGATCCACAGAAATACAAAAAATTAGTAGGCAAGCTAAATTACTTGACCGTCACAAGGCCGGATATTGCTTTACTAGTGAGTATTGTTAGCCAATTTATGTCATCTCCAACGAATACTCATTGGGAAGCATTAATTCGCATTGTAAAGTATTTGAAGAAAACACTAGAAAAAGAAATTGTGTACAAAGATCATGGACATGCACAGATAGAGGCATTTTCTGATGCCGATTAGACAGGATCTATAGACAGAAAATCTACTACCAGATACTGTGTGTTCTTAAGAGGTAATTTAATTTCGTAGAAAAGTAAGAAGCAAAACGTTGTTTCAAGATCAAGTGCAGAATCAGAATACAGGGCGATGGCTAAGACTTCCTGTGAATTAACGTGCTTAAAACATATGCTGGAAGAGATAGGATTTGGTAGTACTAGACCTATGCAACTTTGGTGTGACAATCAAGCAGCGATACACATTGCTTCAAATCCAATTTTTCATGAACGGACGAAACATATTAAGATAGACTGTCACTTTATTCAACAGATGTGTTTACAAAAGCTTTAAATGGGACACGTAGCAATTATATTTATAACAAGTTGGGCATGATTAATATCTATGTTCAAGCTTGAGGAGGAATATTATGAATAGCTAGAATAGGCGTATTAGGATTAGAGTTTATTTTAATATTATAATAACGGGCTTGGCCCAGTAGAGTTACATATGTATCTTTATAAATATAAGGGTCTCTACATATTGTAAAGTATCTAATTCTAACACACTAATCTGTCTCTCTCTCTCTATGCTCTTTCTCTCTTAATCTCTACATCAATATTTGGTGAGATTGCTTTTAGGAGTGCAATGCCTATTCAGCTGTGTGGCAATCAAGCAACTCTCCACATTTTCTCTAATCCAATCATCCATGAGAGGACAAAGCATAGGCTGACTGTGATTTTGTTCGTGAAAATCTCCGGCAGGGACTTGTTTCTATGTCATACAAAGACCAGGGAGCAGCTTGCTGACATTTTCTCTAAATAATGTTTGTTACACTCACCATACAAAAACTCCAAATACCACCACAATCCCTTAATTATATCATAAATATTCAATGACAGCATTGGTCAATAAATCTATGGTTTCATGAATTGGCTTGAAACTCATCATCCCCTAGTCTCTGCTTTGTACTCTGCTATCCTGTCCTTCTCAAAGGATGATCCTTCAGCTTATGTGTCTCAATTATTTCAGTCTCACACAAGACACAACTAACACAACAAAATTTGAACTATTCATAAAGGAAAGACTCCTCGAACAGAGACAACAGTTTGGATGGGAAAAGGGAAACATCAAAAGCAATTAACCCAGAGGCACTACAACACAAAATCAGCCAGACCAAAAACTTGTTTGGACTTGGTCACACTTGTCAAAGCTTGTTAAGTCACCTTCTAGCAAAGTTAAACCCACCAAGGCTGAAATCAAATTGCAATTTCTTTTAGCAGAAGGCTAAAAGAAATATGATTTAAAGATAAAGTTGAGAACCCTGCCGTTACACCATGCAGAATAAGAAGAGTATGTGGAAATTGCTAACAAAGCTCTGGTTAGCAGGATCCCTGTATGTTTATTTAGACCAAGGGTTGGGCATGTTCAAGTATTTTACAAGGTAGTACACATTTCGATAAAACAGAAGTATTAAAAGGTGCTATACTTGGTAAAGAAAGTAGAGCATCAAACTCTAGATTTTTCATGGCCACAAACACTTTAAAAACTGTTCTCTAACTTAAAAGATGAAACAATCCACAAAGAAGTTCATTAGACTATATATATATATACACCCTAAACCCTAAACATTTTACAATGTAACTTTCAGCAAATAAAATGTATGTACTTTTTACCTTTTGTGTCCATTCACCTGTAAAAACATTAATATGAGCACCAACCAGATTAAGCTTTGAACGCCGTGCCCAAAGTCCACGCACTGCATTCTTGGTGACTTGTTCAAAAACTGCATGTCAAAATTCAAACAGAAAGGACTATAATATGTGGGGAAAGACATATATACCTACTTGGAAAAGGGAAAGAAAGAAAAGCAAGAGATTTGGGGCCATGTGAAATGCATTAAGAATAATCATGGACAACTCTTGATGATTCAAGGAATGAGAGAGGAGCTATTTCTCTACATACAAGGCCATGCAACAATTGGAGGATTTAACTATTAGAGAGGAATATCAATATTTAACTTTTACAGGATAATTTCAGAGTCTGGGGAGAAGATGACAGATACTCCCCTATGATGATTTGGTTATGCGAGATGAGGACCAACAGAGACACTAATTACAAAAGTTTTGAACAAATGAAATCTGATTTAAAGGAATAGAGGAAGAAAAAGAAAGCACTAGGATAAACCATTACAAACAACCTCACTCCAACTGAATTTATTGTAATTTTAGTTATTGATGAAGGCCAAACCAACCCTGAAAGAGTTCAGTGGAAGCAAAAAAGTGACAGAAAATCAGAGAAAGATACAATAAAAAAAAGAGAAAGTGAGCATCTGTAATTGAGTCTAAACTGAATTGATTATCCAAAAAAGTGACAAGTGGTGAACTTTTCTAAAGAGATATCTGTAACCGTACCTGCTCTAACATAATGATGAAATATAACAACTGTATTACAACAAACAGTAACCAACTAACGGTTGGTTAAGTTAACAGCTATACTACTCTATGTTCCCCTTCCAACTCAAGGTAAGTGAGTCAATGAAAAGAGATCAACCACCGAGTTTGTCACACAACATACAGAACCATTGGGCAGAGAGTGCCTAAGTCTGGATATCACTGTGTGGGAAACACAGTTCAAAGACACTCCAAAGTGAAATTTAGTACAACCCAGGAAGTGATAACAAGGTGATGGAAGCTTTATCCAGAAAAATGATATATTCAGCCATCTCTACTATCAGCTTTGATGAGTGGGACAAATTGGACAGTGAAATTCAAAGAGATTCTAGACTGCAGCAGTTATGCAAAGATTTAATAGCAGATCCCATTTGCATAAGGGTTATACCTTGCATCAAGGGAAGCTATATTATAAGAGTCAACTTGCTATTCCAAAAAATTTCACTTGCATTCCCTTGTTGCTGGCTGAGTTTGATACATCAGTTGTGGGGGGTCATTCTAATTTCTTTTCAAACATATAAACGATTGTCAGGAGTGATTTATTGGGAAGGCAAGAAGGGAAACATTCAATAGTTTGTAGCAACTTGTGATGTCGACCAGCATAATAAAACTCAAACCCTATCTCTAGTTGATCTTTTACTGCCTTTACCAATTCCAGCACGTGTGGGATAACATCTTCATGGATTTTATTACAGGCCTCCCAAAGGCTAGAGGAAAAGAGACCATTTTCATGGTTGTTGATAGGTTATCCAAATATGCATGCTTCTCTACTTTAGCTCATCCATTCACAGTGAAGGACGTAGCTCAACTCTTCATATCAGTAGTATGGTTGTATGGATTCCCACATCCATTGTTTCATAAAGAGATCAGCTCTTTTATGTCAGTTTTGATCAGAACTTTTTAGACAAGCTGGGACAAAATTGAAGTACAGTTCGACATATCATCTCAAGATGGATGGTCAAATAGAATTGGCAAATAGGTGGTTAGAAACCTATCTAAGATGTTTCACAGGATCAAAGCTCAAGCAATGGCCTCAATGGTTGAGTTGCGCTTAATATTGGTACAATACCAACTATCATAGCTCCACTAAAATGACCACTTTCAAGGCAGCGTATGGTGGGGACCTGCATCCTTTTTAGAGGCAATGCATTGATGCAATTGATCAATTGATAACAGATAGAGACTTTTTCTTGGATGAATTGAAACACAACTTAAAATAGGCCCAACATCAGATGAAAGTACAAATGAATAAAAAAAGATGAGAGTTGGTTTTTCAGGAGGGAGATTGGGTTTATTTAAAAGCCCAACTATACAGATTGAGGACTTTGGCTTGGGAACAAAATGAGAAGCCCAGCCCAAGGTTTTATGGACCATATCCGATTGTCCAACGCATTGAGGCAGTTGCATATTGTTAGAATCTTGTAAATATAGTAACTATATATTTTGTAATTATATACTCTTTTCTATAAATTTGAATAACTCCGCTATGCCTGAAAACACACGGATTCAATATTTTTTCTCTAAACATGGTATCAGAGCCATTTGCCATGATAACAAAAGGTAAATAACCAGAACAAAAAGAGAAGAAAAAAAGGAATTTATAACCAGTTATGTGATCGGTGAGTGAGAGAGACTAACAGAGGAATTATCAGTGTGTGCAACAGTAGTAATGAAACCGGAGGCCTAACGATCTTCATACCATTTCAAGAAATTGTTATAGGAAGGTGATGGATTTAAATCCAAAGCCAACAGCAGAGAAGAAGTAGACGAAGGAGACACAGAACTTTGAGCCACCTGGATAGTGCGAGGAGGTCGACCATGTAGAGTCCAGCACTTATCAATTGTGTGTCCCGATCAGTGGCAATGATCACACTAGGGACGTCTTTTGTCGCCCTTTCGCTGTGGAGGTCGGTTGGTGTTGCGAGAAACTAAAACAGAAGAGTCAATAGGAATAGGAAGCAAAGGCTCAAAGGAGGTTTTGGGGGAGAACACGAAGGAGGGTTGCCTAGGTACTGTCCATAGTAGCTTCTGTGCGGCTCCCTAGGATCTGATCACAAACATGAGAATATTCTGAGGACAAACTGTATAGAGCCAAGGACATGAAAAACTCTTTGCAATTGTCAAGTTTCGCATCTGGAGTGGTAGCGGGAGAAAGCAATTCATTGAACTCACAGAGAAGGCTAGATACCGAGCCAAAATGGGTCAACATAGAATCCTTAATCTGATGGGCACTAAGGATAGTCACGAGGTCTTCACAAACTTAGTAGAGTTGTTTCTAAAGTGTTCTTAGGCCTGTGTCCAAACAGCATTTGTGAGTGCAAAAAACATCGTGAAAAGATGGGTGAATGGTGGCTTGGATGATACAGCACAACTGAGCATCAACCTTTTTCCACAAAAGACGGTTGGCCTCCGGGACATTGTCTGCTGTTTGAGTGAGATATATCTCATAACCCTGTCCAACAAGTCAAAGTTCAATGTGAGAAGCCCATGAGGATTAGTGCTTACCATCCAACTGCTCAAAAGAGAGAGGGACAGTGACATGGTTGGTAAAAATCTGTGTCAAATTTTTGGAGTGCTGGAGGTAGCCATTGGTCAGCGAGAAGAGAGAGAGAAAAAATGCCTAAACAGAAGCAAAAAAGGGTAAAACAAGGACAAATAGATGTTCAAACAACTAACTGAGACCAGATACAAGTAGAGGAGAGAGGGGCGAGCAAACCCTAGTCAACAGCGTCAGGAAAGGATGTCGGACGCGCCATCACGTGTGGAGAGAGAGGATGGTGAGTGAGAAAGTGCGACAGAGAAGAAGGTGGTGCATGGGAGCGCGTGAGGACTCTGATGAAGATGCAGTCAGCGGGGTTTGGCCGATCTGACAAAGGCGACCACAACAGTGGGGTTGCCGTAGTGATCGGAGGTCAAATAGAGGTGGATTACCTCACTGTTACCCGTCCAGATATCTCATTCGCAATGAGTATAGTAAGTCAATTCCTCAACTCTCCATGTAAGGAATATTAAGATGCAGTGACTCTCATTGTTCAATACATCAAAGGAGCTCTAGGAAAAGGCCTTTTGTATGAAGACAAAGGACACACTCGTGTTGTGGGGTATTCTGATGCAGATTGGGCAGGATCTCTCATATATAGAAGGTTCACCTCTGGATTCTGTATATTTGCCAAAGATCACCTTGTCTCTTGGAAAAGTAAGAAGCAAAATGTTGTAGCCCAGTCCAATGCAAAAGCGAAGTATCGAGCTATGACTATAGCGAGTTAGGTGCTTATATGGCTCAAACAGTTGCTTCAAGAACTAAAGTTCGAAGAGGTCACACATATGTCACTTATATGTGATAATCAAGCCGCCATGCACATTGTCTCAAATCCAATATTCCATGAGAGGACAAAGCACATTGAAATTAATTGTCACTTTGTCAGAGAGAAAGTCATGTCCAGAGAAATATCTACTAGTTTTGTCAATTCTCATAATCAACTAGCAGATGTATTTACTAAGTCACTAAGGGTTCCTCAGATTAACTACATATGTAACAAGTTTGGTGCATATGACCTATATGCTCCAACTTGAGGGAGATTGTTAGAATCTAATAGAATCTATTAGAATTTTATAAATATAATAACTATATATTTTGTAATTATGTACTCTTCCCTATAAATTTGAATAACCTAAAACACTCAGATTCAATATTTTCTCTCTCAACACATATAAATTACAGCTTCCAAGCCACTTGTAAAATTCACCCAATTTTTCATATGAGCAAGCTGAAAAAGCCTATACCAAAGACACATCAACCTCAACCACTGCTAGAGGCGCTAACCAAGGATTGGGAATTGCAATCACAAAAAGAGGATTTACTGGCTTTTCACCATAATACTCAAGGTGCAGTGGAGGCTTAGATCAAATGGCATAAGTTATCAACCTTTGAAAATTCTTGGGAATCTTTATCTGCGCTACAGCAACAATTTCCTACATTTCACCTTGAGGAGAAGGTGCATGTTTTGAGGGGGAAGTATTGATAGCAAACCATTAATAAAGCAAGTATACATTAAAAGGGTTAGGAGAGGGGTAGGAGATCAGAACCCAACATACTAAATTAGTTGTTAGGTGGTTAGTGAGAAATTGTATGTAAAAGGAAATATGATAGGAAAGAGGGCATGGAAGGAACAAGATTATTGTAGGGTCGAGGAGAGTCCAGGGTCTCTCGAATACCCTGTGAACCTTTAGCAATTTTCTGTCTCTTGGTCACCTTGATCAAGGGCATTCTTGTGAATAATACGATCAGTTTGTTTTGCTTTCCATCTATATTGATCCAGTTCTATCAATTTCCCTAGTCCTTATTTATTTAGAATTTTAGTTCATATATCTTCTCAAAGACTTTAACTTATATTCCTTGCATAACATATGCTTACTATAGAACAAAAGGGAAAATGGAAAACTTACTAGGATCATTTGTCAAACGGCTTAGAACTCCAAATTCAAGAGTCAAGGTCCCACCACCAGCTGTTGAGGTTATCTAACCACAAAAGTACTAATTTTTAACCCAACATAAAAGCAAGAAGTAGGTTCAAAACATATAATAAACAAACAAAATGATGGATTGATCTCAAGAAATATTCTCTGTTTCTTGAAAAGAAAATAACGGAACAAATATCAGTCTCTGAAACATCCTCTTATATAATTTAAAATCAGTTGCCCAATTGTTTCGTGTATATCATTTGACTTTATTAGCCTATTTACCATAACAGTAACTAGGAAACATTTGAAGACCTACATATTCTAACAGAAAAGGAGGAAGCATAGGTGAAGATTTTACCTTGCTTTCATGTTTATCAACTCCATGTAACAAATTTACAGATCCAAATGGAATTCCTGCAATGCAACATAGCATATGAAAGTCAGCATATGATAAACTATTAGGGAGGTAAAACAACATTCTCCAACAAGCTAAGCTAAAAATATGAGCAGTTTTACATCACTATTAAGTAAAAAACTGGGATTGAGATTTCAGGTTGTCTCTTTACTACCTTTTTCCTGTGATTGTGAATGGTGAACATCTTGGTTTCATGTATGGCAGTAAGTTATGCAAGAAGAGCCTTTGTACCCTTTCTTTTTCTAAGTCAAATGTTTTCAAGAGTTCTTGATTAGGATCTCATCCAGGGCACTAGAGTTGGTTACTTAAGATGAGGATTCCACTTTCAATTTGCTGAATGATACTACTCTCTTCTCAGACAAGGATAGCATCACTTTGTGAGTGTTCCATCTTTTAGTTCAATGAAGATATGTCTGGTCCAAAGAATTATGAGGGCTTTTCAATGGTCTGGTGTGGGTGAACAAAAGAAATAAATATCTTCTAGACACTGGGAGGTTGGTTGTAGTTGTAGGTCACAATGAAAACATTGAAGACAAAATCTTGATGTGATGCGCAGCTTATGCAATTATTTGGTGAATTTGGCTGGACCGAAATGCAAGGATATTTAATGGTGGCTCTATGCAATTAGATTTTCTATGCTTTTTAAGCTTCTATTTGATGCTCTCCCCATGGCTGTTTCAAGGGAGTTGCCTCTGCAATTTGCAGAGAATAGGGCAGGGGCCATGTTGAATTAATAGTTTTTTTCTTTTTTATTGTTTGTATTTAAGGTCATGTGCAGAGAAGACATTTAGAGGCACCAGTAAGGAGAGTGGAATGCATGATTTTTAGTCCGGTAAAAAAAGGTCGAAGGAGACCCAAAAGAACTTTAGACGAAGTTATTAAAAGAGAACTTTTGATTTATCAAATTTTTGAAAATTTGGTTTTGACTGAGTTCAATGTCATCGTATGGTCCATGTAGCTGACCTCAATCATGTGTAATAATTGTTGGTTGTTGTTGTTTTTTGTTTTTGGTGTTTAGGACTTAATACTCTATCCTCCCCTTCATTGTACTTACCTTCTTTTTCCTAGATTAAAATTTTTGCTTTCAAAAAGAAAAATTCCAAGTTTCAACTCTAATAATTTAACCATCCTACATGAACCATTCATAGTACTGTCATAAATGCACAGTATCATTCTTCACCGTGTATGTGTCAGTGTTTGTCAATATTATGGTGGTATATAAAGCCATCAAAGGTGAAAATTAAAAGGATATATATTTTCATTTTAAAAGGATGCAGTAAAAATATTCCTTTCTGGAATTGAGAAAGATGATGATTATGAAAGCAAAGGTACTGAAAGCAAGCATCATTTTGTATGAATGGAGCAAAACCTGTAGGAGTATCAAATGCAGGTAACAACCTCCTGGCAAGATCTTCAGCTAAGTTTAGTAACTGATTATCATACATTGGAACTCTCATACCCTGCAAACAAGGAATGTGAATATAATCGTTGAAGACGTTATTTATAAGAGAAATGAGATGCCAAATCAGTACACTGTGAAAGCACATATACTATAGCGACTCAAATGATATCACAATGTTCTATTGTGACTCATGTCTATAGATAAACCATTGACCTCTAAAACCGTTGTAATGGTTTTGCCTGTAGCTTTTTCTATCTCCTTTTTTTTCAAGCAATAGGGCTATCCTCTATGTGATTTACTCTCCTTACTATCTCAAAGCTAGGATCATTTCATATACTTCAGCTAATTTCCATTTAAACAAAAGTTATGTACTTCTAAAGCTATGATCCACACCTCAAACTTTTCATTTAGTTTCTCTCTTCACTCTCCAACAAGTGATGGGCTCACCGTTCAATTTTAAATGACTAGAAAACAAACATCAACAAATACGTATGTAGGTCTGCATTGCATAATAAGTGATACCGTAGCATAATCAGAGGCAATAAGATGAGCGGACAGTAGTCCTCCGAGGACCCTGATAGTAGTTTCAAACACGGAAACCGTTTTATTCTGCAATGCCGAACACAAAGTAGAATAAATCACAACTCAAAAGGCAATGAATGAAATTATTCTGCAATGAGATGAGTACTCACTATATCGAAGCGAACATTTTTACCAATCCATTGAACGGATGCAGCGAAGCGTTGGCGGTCACCAAGCAAAGCCAAAGTGTCTAACGAGTCAATCTGTTTTGCATATCCGATTCAGTTAGAGTTAAATAAAATTGAGAAAAATAGGAAAGAAAGAGGAATACGAACCAAAGTTAAGGCATAACCGCCGAGAGTATCCTCTCCTGCGCAAGAGAGAGGTCTCAATTCATCGAGGGGAAAAGCGTGTTCCATGTATCCATTGAAAGCGTGATAAAACATATCACCAACTTCATCCCGCAGTTCTTTCGCTTCCTCTCGAGTGACGCTCTCGGCTACAACACCCACACTCAGATACGCTATTGCCAATACCATCACTATTCCGATCTGAATCCCGCTTTCCATTTCCCCTCACCGCCCACTACACTTCAAATCAATTCCTTCCTATCTATCTTCCATTTCTCCACATTCTCAACTCCGATTCTTTGTTTTTACCGTTTTGTTAACCAATGTGGTCCATAAGGGATCAATACAAACTTTTTCAATCATGTATTACATTTCATGCGCATTAAGTACTATTTTTTTATTATTGCAAAAATTAAAATGTAATTGTAAATTAATTAAATATTTAAGCCAAACACCAATAAATAAGGATAGTATTTTTAAAAAATCAATGCTTTCTCAATCTTTTTACTGTAAAAGATATTTTACAACAAATTAAAATTCTTAAAAGAACAAATAGTGAGACAAGATTTTAAAAATATGTCAATTTTGTCGCATTCAACAAATTAGGTCAACGTAAATTAATAACAAGATTTTTAAATTAAAAAAAGTAATATTATTTTAAAATGGATGCATTTTCATCGTAATTCTAAATATTTATTAAAAATAAAAAAATTTCAACATTAAAAAAGAAATATACAAAATTTATTGGTATTTATAAAAGTAGATTATGACTTTTTTACAATTTTTAAAATTTATTTTAATGAAATTTATAGATAAGCTTATCAATTAAGCTGTTATTTCAATAAATATAATGAAATTTATGAATATCTTTTGCTGAAATAATGTTTAATTAAATTGTTTTAAGTATTAAACGTAGAACATTTATTTTCAAAAATTGAAACATCCATTTGTAATGCATTAAAATCCTGATAAATGCCGCAAGCAATGTCATAAAGTCAACTAAAGAAATTGAAATTGAATGCATACTCTAGCAAAACAATTCACCCTTGGGAGTATGTTCCATCCAAACCTCCCAAGCTGAACAAGATTCATAATTGTCACACCACAACACCTTCTCTGTCAAGCAAGCTCCAGACCATGCTTGATGACTACATTAAGATTCTATTGAAACCGAAAAAACCAACGAGTCAGCTCCCGTTATTGCTAGGAATCAAACCACTGGAACCGGTTACCTTCTGATCAAAAAGAAAAATAAAGTGGTTTCCTCAAAACACTCATCCACATTGTTTACCTTCAAATTTTAGAGAAATTTGTAAAACCAATTTCAGAGAAAAACCATTCTAAAGTATCGATTTTAATATTCGAACATATGATATTACGAATAAATTTTGTTTCATAATCAGTACATTTCTCCGGCTGCACCACTTCTTCGATAGGTCAAACAAAGTCAAAGCAATATCACTTCTTAAAAGTACTGATCCAAAACAATCAGAGTTATGTTAGTTTATTTCAGTAAACTAACCCGGAAACATTAGTATGGCGTTTTAGACTATTGCACCGCTGCCAATGGTCCGATCCATTAAAACAGTAGAACTTGTAAACAGCACACACACTTTCACCTCAGCTAAACCAGCCCTACAAATTATTTTTTGGAATATAGTTATCAAATTCGGCCGTACATATATGCAAAATAACGCATTGCATGGGTGTAAGTGGCATTATTCCATAAATTTATTTCACTTAAAAGACTTAAAAACTTACGGTCCCCTAACAATAAGCTATTTTTTATTTTGGTACTTGTATAAAAAATAATTTGATCTGATTTAATTTAAATAATCTTAGCCTTGTCGTTAGTTTTGCTTCAACAAGTGATAATATGACAATCACACTTTTCACGGTTAGTACTCCAAAAAAGGGGAAAATATTAACCCGCGTAAACAAATCAGAATTCAAAATAATTTACAGTAAGCGACGGTTAAATATGAAGAATCCACAGTGAAAAGTTAACCAACAATAACGAATTCTCAATCTAACCTAACAAGTCAGTACATATATATCATCATATTGACCAGTAAAATAGGCTCCCAGCAGGTCCGCAGTAGAACATGACCCATCCAGGTAAGACAACTGTAAGAATCTCGAATGAATGTGAAGAAGCTAAATCCAATTGCTAATAGCAATGCTTAGTTTAGCCATCATGACAGCTGGAGAACAAACATGGATTACAATCAGAGACAGAAAGAGAAAAGGAAAGTAAATATTGGATGCATTTGATGAACAAATAAATAATGTTTAGTGTTCTACACTTCTACTGCAGAAGACAAAGTCACACACTAACAGTTCATTCGTCCATTGATTAAACCATAAACTCAAAGATGTCAAATTTTATCAACGTATCTTATTTCATACGCATTTTAGTGGTACAGAGCAACTGACACAAAAATGCTATGGCAGGGCAGCTAAATGGCTGCACCCACTATACCCAAGCTTACGGATACAAGATAAATAATTTAAACAACAAACATGTTTGTTCAATAATAAAATATATTAATCAAAATTACAGACATATTCTCTATTACTTACGAGTCACAGTTTAAACGCAATCCCCAATTTGCCAGCAATGTAGAGCATAACTAACAAGTCAATAACAGCAAAAGTCAAGGGGAACAAGGGAGAAAAGGAATACAGAGAAGAGTGAAGTGAAAAAAGGGGGAAACAACAAACTAATATAGAGAGCCAAAAAAATGAAGAAAGCAATCGTGTGACAAATTAGTGATTGTGAACTGTGATTCATACAACACAAAAGAAAGAAAGAACAAAAACAGAGGCATGTTTGAATCAGATCTGTGTCAGATAAGAAGCTGAAAACAAGTATTGTCATAGCTAAAATGAATCAACAGAGTATTCAGCTATCAGTGGGTTGCCATAAAATGCCAGGCTTGGCCTGATCAAAAAATGCCACCAAGCAGCCAGTCGGACAAGTGGGACTTGGCCTGAAAACTACTGGGTCACTGAAAGATAGCAAGATCATCACTGGGGTGTAGCAAGAAGGAGGGTTTTTCAACTGGAAGTTCAAAGCAGAGGTGGGGCAGTGGGTTTTTATCAAAGGGGCATGACAGAAAGACTGACAAAGCAGGGTTTTCATCCCCCGGAATGGCGAAACAGTAGCCACAAATTAGCTGCAATTCCAGGCCTCAATGACCACTCTGTCATAATGAGCGACAAGAGGAAGCTGGGAAACTTGCAGTGGCAGTGAAATGAGTTAATAGAACTAAAGCTCAATAGTTTTGGTCGTAACTCAAAGGTGCAATGATAAACTTAAAAAAGGTGTTTTTCTGATGTCACTTTTTCTTATTGCTCTTTTTTTCGTAAGCTATCTGCTAAGTTTATTAAAAACAATTAAACTGCTTTTTTCTATCTTAGCTTGTATCCCCAAAACACGCTCTCTTAAAATTTTTAAACATTATTAAAGGTATTTTTTTGTTCTAGAAGAAAAAACGCACAAATAAATGGGCCTTGGAATCGTGAATCCTGCTTCAACTCCTATACCACGCAGCATTAGGTATGGACCTTATATTAAACAACAATACAAAAGCCATTACTAACAATGCAAAATCCATTTATCAACAATGTGTGCAAGAGAAGAGAGGAAACTTAACTAATAGACATGAGATGATGAGAGAGAGAGCACAAAGATGTTTCCAGAGAGGATAATTTGTCATAAATAACCAAGGTAGTGAAATTATGCAATATATATTATCAGAATAAAAACCACGACTGAGCAAAAGTGATAAACCTGCTTCTTTTTCTTCTTAGGTCTTCTCTTCCTCCGAGGCTTGTGAGCATCAGAGTTGGAGCTTAGACTACTACCATGACCAGTCCCTGATCTTGAGGGTCCCCGTATTTTGAAGTCTGAGCTGCTTTTGCTATTTGATGTGTTGCTAGATGTGGAAATTTCAGATCTCTGTACAGATGAATTTTGGCCAGAAGATGACCCAAACCTTGACAGCATCTTGTTTGACGGGCGAGGAGGGGGCATCAAAGCTCTAGCGGAAATCTGCCTCTATAAAAATGGGTGAAGATATTTAAAAATTGCTAAAAAAGTTTGTGACAATCTATTTCATATTTATGGAAATTGCAAATTATAACAAATAATACTTATACTGCAGACCTGATTTTTTTCATCACTGGACATGCCAGACACGGCTTTCCCAGAAGCACTAGAAGCCTGCTCTCTGCAACCAACAGAAAATAATATGTATTAGATTTCATCAAAATAAACCAGGATATATGTTTAAATGTCTTAATTCCAAAAATAAGAGCTTATTGGATATTTCCCTAGCATACCTGTCCAACAAACCCTTGAAATTTTATAAAAGAAAATATGGCTGAATTTCACAATTACCAACATCACAAACACAGGTTGATTCTGCTACTCTTCTTTTAGCATTCAAATTCCATTTACCTTAATGCAGGCAGGGTATAAAAGTTTTAAAACATCTCTCCACTCACCTTGTGCTTTTGTCTGTCCATTCATCATCTGCATCTGCTTCATCACTAGAACTTCCAGCAAGGAAAAAATCATCATCACTTAGATCCAAAAGGCCATCATCCTCACTGCCAGTCTCTGCCACAGCAGCACAAAATCTTGTTGACATTTAATTAAACAGGAATAGGGCATATATACAAAGGCGTGTTTACAAATACCAAGCAAAACATCAGGCATATCAATGTGGATTGACCTAGTTTTCATTATCTTTTAGACAAACTAAACTCTACACAATGGATCCACGATTCCATGTTAGAGTAGAAAATATGCTTCCACTGTTTCTGATAGCTTATATGTTCTGCTAGGCATCAACAGCTGTAGCAGTTAACTATGCATACCTGATTGCCGGCCTATATAATTATTTATTAATTATAAAGAATCTCTTATTTTATTTTATTTATATTTTAAAATTATTTGTGCATGTGTGCGTCCAGTCTCTCATGCTGGAATGCAATATGAGAGCAAAAACCTTCTTTCTGTGTGTAAGAAGATATTTCATCAAGTTAGGTAGGCAGGATGTAGATCGAGCACAACAAGCTACAAGAGGAGTCCTTTTTGCAAATGGAGTTCTGTCTGTCAACTCTGTCCCACCAAAAAAAAAATAGGAGAAAGAAGTGTAGGATTGGTCGAACAGAAGCTATTCAACTAATTCAGGATGCCAGTAGCGGCAAAGCTCATTTTCTTTGGAACATGCTCTAGCGTGAAGCAGAAAGGGGGCCCAGTCACAGAGAAAGGGACAGGAGAATCTAAGCCCACACCAGGCAGGGAAAACAAGGACTAGTCGTCAACCACCACTTGATTCACTTATCTGTTGAAACAGTCTAATCCAGACAGTCAACCTTTAGGGCATAAGACTAAGGTGAAAAACCTATCGTATCAACGAGATGCACCAATAATAAAATTTGCAGACTATAAAAAGAATTTGTTCTCATCTACATCTGTCTCAATCATGGGCAGTTCAAGAGAGTTCTTTCTATCATTGCATAAGCCAAGACAAGCTGGGCTTGCAGCAGAATGATACTGCTGAGACATCCAAAGAAGCACATAAAGGAACTGCTACCTGAACTAGAAAGCAAACCCCTTGTAGTTGAGTAATTCCATAGGCAAGGAAAGTCTTAATGCATCCCCTTCTTTTATTATTCTTCCTCCCCTCTTATAGATTGAACGTTATGTATGAAAAAAGTATTCTTGCGAAACCTTCTTTCCGGGCATTTCAGGATAAAACCTTGGGCAAAGTCCCTCTCCACGTGAATATTATACTCAGTGGTTAATTAGTTAAGATTTAGTTAGTCTGTAACATTTTGGTTCTATTAAAAAGCGTGTAACCAAAGAGAATGAAACAAAACATAACTCCCCATTCTGTTCCCATACACCAAATCATTTCTTATTTCTTGGTTCTGGATTCTTATATCTTGACCTTCTTGGTTTCAAACAGGACTCACACAACAAAAACGAACCACTTGAACATAATATATTCTAAACTGAAATAAGTGATCGTTAAAATAAAGGAACCTTCTAAATCCTTGCCACTTGCAGCAGCTGCAATTAACCTGGCTTCAATCTGTTTGCGCAGCCCATTTCTCCTGTCAACTATCTCTGAATCATCACCCCCAGTGAACAAGGGAACATACTTCTCATTCTTGGGAAAGTACTGCACATTGAAATTCAATCACAAGAATTTTTAAATCATGTCAATGCAACTTTGTTATATCAAAAAATGAAAAAGAAAAGAAAAGATAGGGGCTACACAATTGGGGACAGACCATAACATATTGAAGATCTTGTTTAAGAGCGGAAAGCTGATCAGAATGAGGTTGTGAGGAGGAAGAAGAAGAAGCACGCTGCAGTTTCTCGAGGCGTCTGATTCTTCTTTCTATTTTCCTCCTCTCGAAGAACTTAATCTTTCGGTCACGTAAGAATATCTTGCGTTCGGCGGCAAGGCGCGTGTGAATCTCTTGCTGCTTCTTCAGAGCTTCCAACTTATGTTCTTGCGCCTCTCTCACCTCCGGTTGCAGATTCTGCTTTTTCACAACTCCGAAAATGAATCGAATCGGATGAAGAAGACGAAATTAGGGTTACAGTTAGGGTTAGGGTTACCTTTCTGAGTATGCGCTCTATGGATCGAATCTGGTTTTTGAGTGAAACGGAGGGCTTGGGTTTCTTGGCGATGCCCAAAGGCTTGGAGTTGGATCGACGGCTTGTGGGATTGAGCCTCACGCGCCGCTTGTTGTAAGCACCGTGAGCCATCACTCTCTTAATGCTTTTTTTATTATTATATTTAATTAGGTCTTCTCTTATTCAGATTTCCTACTCTTCTTCTTCTTCTTGTCGCCTCGGGTCTCATCTAACACTACGACACAAACGGAAGGTCTTAGAACAGTACTGAGTTATATATAGGTTAAATTAATCCATACCCTCTAAATTATTTCACGATTTTTAAATGATTTTTTATATTTTGAATGTCTGTAATTATGCCTTTCAATTTTTAAATTATTTTTAATTAAGTACATAAAATTTATTATTGTCGATATTTAAAATTTAATTAAATTATGTCTGTAATTCTCTATTTCTGATTTTAAAAAATTTAAACAATTTAACTTTGTGTATATGATATTTTAAATTTTAATGTTATTGTTCACATTCGATATTATAATAAATATTCAACTAATACATAAAAAAATAAACTAAGATGAATTAAACTAGGTAAAATTATTATGAAAAATAAAAGTTTGATTTTTTTAATTTTAATACAATTATATTTAGTCAAACTCGCATAGAATCTTGGTCATGCTCATAGAATCTTGCCACTGGTGAGTTTTGAAGCACCATACTTGCATAATTTTGTCAAGAAAGTTCATATTCCAATAATTCATTGTCTTAAATCCCATGTTAAAATTAATTTTCTCAGAATTTGCACGGTAATACTATTCACTTAAAGCATGTATATTGTGGAGAAAATTATTTGACTTTGTTTCTTTGTTTTTATTAAAAAGTGTTAATAAAAATTGTATATTAAATACTTTTCATAATTTTAATATACTAAATACTAAAATTTAATAAATCTTTTTTATTTGTAACTCTTTGACATGTGCCTTTGAATATACATTAAAAAAGGGCAATTATCAACCTTAATATTATAAATAAAGATTTACTGTTTAAAAGGTAAAACATTCATAAAGTTGTCTCTTTTACAGTTAGTTAATCATTAATATATTTTAAGATTAAAATGACTAAAAAAATATATGAATTAGATTTTATAACTGTAATGATTTTATTTTTTATCTATGTTTTTGTTAAATTTATTATGAATTCTTATATATATATATATATATATATATATATATATATATTTACATTTACAAAAATTATCTTTTTTTTATTATTTAGAGTTTACTTTTAAGAGACTTATTTCTTAAATTTATAGTTATTAATATATATTGATAGTTGAGTAAATAAATAATTTTTTACACTATACGATAAAAGTATTATTTTAAAATAATATTCATAGTTATTAAATTAAGTCTAAATAATGTTTAAAAATGTTATTGTTTAAAATAATTTTATTATATATATAATTATTTACAAAAATATAAAATTTTGTCCTTTAATTATCAAGTTACATGTAGATTTATTCTAAAATAAAATAATTGTACTTTACTAAACTAGTTCTATATAAAAATTAATCTATGTTTCTTATAATTAAACAAATACATATTAATAATACTTCATATTAAAAAACTAAGAGGGGCAGTAAGAATGCAATTGCATACCATGAAACAAACACATCTTAGCACTTGCCTTATATATATGTTATACTAAGTTCTTCACCTTTTTGTTTTTTTATTAAAAAGTGAAACTTGTACTTATTATAATTGGCAACATCTAAAAGTTATTTTTCTCTTCACGAACTTATGCCTTTTCAAATCATTCCCCTTATAATATTTATGATCACTGAATAGTCTTATATTTATTTATTTTTCATGTTATTTAACTCTCTCCTATTGTTACTTCTTTTTCTTTTTGTATCACTTTATCAAGAGAAATTTTTGAAAGCTTAGAATCCACATGGTTCTGACTACTCACAGCTTGACATGTGTCAATTTTTTTTTAAACAAAAAAATACATACATGTCATGTTTCTATTAGTTGGGACCATGATGGTCTTGGACCATAAAAAATTTCTCCTTTATCACACATGTGGCATTGACATTAAGCAAAACAGTACAAGGAATAAATTAAAAAAGTATGGGAGAGATAAAGTATAATTTACTCTAGATTAAATGACAAAAATCAAGTCTAATTATATTAAAAGAAATTACAGAGAAATGTGATTCAAATGATGAAAGAGTGACAGGAATATTCAATGATGTGGATGCAGTCTCTTCCTAAATCATTGTTAAGCATTACAAAACGATGGGTTGTTCTCCTTCCAGCTCTGATATGACTATCAACGAGTCAGTCATTTCAAGAGAGAGGGGTTCAGTCTTGGGAAGTGGGTTTATTACCTGCAAATGGGAAAGGTGTGATGTGAGTAACATGTTCAAAGCAACCATTCAAAATTAATTTGGATTTCCATTGCCATACATTCTTCTTGTTCTTCACATATCCTATGGCTACTTCTCTCCGCAAATATGCTCTCTCTGAAAGCTCAGAAAACGATGGATTCTCTCCTTCTTTCATGTAAAGCCCAATATCCTGTAATTATAAACATAAGTGAGTCATAATGATTCATGTGTGGTCACAAATTAAAGTATCATATGAGTAGATATTAGTATTAGTGCTACCTTAACATAAATTTCATCGCCCTCTGCATTCAGTACGTCTTTCCAAACTTCATTCAGTTCACTATTCTCAGCCACTGTTTTACAAGTTCGAAAATTAAATTTAAAATTGACACATAAAAATGGACCACACTATTAAAGCTCAAACAAGAAGAGAACAGAGATTAATGACCTTGAGCTGTTACAAGGCTCATTACTTCCTCTGCTGCAATGTAGGTCACCGATGGTTTGATTCTAGTAATCTGCAGGGTTTTATATAGCAGCATCATCAAAATATACAACAAAAAGAAATTTGAAAAATCAAACCAACCCAAAGTAAGAGAATTACTTGTTTCCCCAATTTTGAATCAACTATTTCTGCAACTAGATTTTGCACCTACAGAACAGCCAATTTAGTCCAACTATGCCTTTCCTCTCTATCTGATAGAATAACTAATACATCAAATGAACAATGCCTATCAGCATAGAGAAGGTAAAATTATCACCTTAACTCCAAACTTGTTGCAGATATTTTCAGCAAGTAGGAGAGAATAAGCAGATAGCTTGTCTGCCTTAGATGGATCTGAAAAAAGAACAATAAGCCATAGGCCATTTTCAGTCACAAATTTTTGCATAATTACCTCCAAGAAGCCATTCTCTGTCAGATATGACCGCAATCGACAAAGGAACATCTTCATTCTTCAAAGAATTCTGAATATTCAAAATGGTTTCCTTTAAGGTGTCATAGTCCATGGGATTTCCAATCTGCCAAATTTGCAAGTGAAAGATTGTATCAAAAGCATGACCACACAAAAAGAAGTTTGAATACATTAAGTGACTGCATGAGACATACCCTATGAGAAACTCGGACATTCTTGAGTTTGCTATTACAATTGATGTTGCTCTCCCTAATAATCCTGTCACCTAATGGTGTGTCCGATAACACTTCCTGCATATTATTTATGGCTAGAAATGATAAATATTGAACTCCAAGTAAATGCATATATATTGTAGAGAGAAAGGGAATTAAAGGTCAGTGCACACCAGCAGCAGAAAAATCTAGCTGGTGGGAGTAATGCATTTTAGGGTAACATTAATATAGTAAATAGTAAGCACCTTGAATCCTTAAAAGTTCAGTTCCATTCCAGGACCAAGATAGTTAACATACTCTTGTTCTCGTTTTTTTTCCTGTTTCTTAGTTCTTGTTTCTTGGTTATTGGATCTTGTTTCTTGGTTTCTGGTTCTTGTCTCTTGGTTTGGTTCATGGTTATTTGCCTCTTGGTTTCTTGGTTCGTGGTTCACGGTTATTGCCTCTTGGTTTCTTGGTTCTAGTTTCTTGATAGTCTCTTGGTTTCTTGGTTCTTGATCTCTTGGTTCTTGTTTCTTGATTTCTTGGTTCTTGGTCTTGTTCTTGTTTGGGGTGTAAGGGGAAGAATAATTATGGTTTTTCTTTTCCAATCATACACACAAAGTACACAGATTAATGACGATTCCAAGATATATAAGGACATACCAAAACACTTCCAGGACCAAGATAGTTATCATACTCTTGAATCATTTCTACAACATCAGGCCTCCACCCAAGTAAAAGAATGCATTCTTTCGGTCCTAGATTCCCATCTGATGCCTAGATGATGATAAGAAGTAAAGATTAGCTTTCAAATTAGTACATATGGTATAATGCTCATTCAAATAATCTATACAACATAGAACTGGAAGCTGTACCTTGGAACCTGATCTACGAGGACGTTTTACTATATTAGCAAGTCTTAATTTACTCAATTTGATGACATGTTCCACGTCCTTTTCATGTATTTCTTCATTAAAAATTCCATGCTTTCCTTCTTGCCCATTTGGGGTTACAATTTCTGGCTTTTTAGTATCCCGAAGGGATCCAATGAACAACACCTAACAAGGAAAGCTGAATAATATCAGAACACATGCTTGTGTGCTTCGAAAATTGACTGATGATGAATCAACAGGCCATTGCCCTGTTGGTCAACTGCATGGCTGTGCTTCTGGCAGTGATCAGGATAGATCCAGCCATTGACAAATTTTCCCTCACAGCTTCTCTTCCCTGTCTCCTTCTCATATTCCCAGTATTTTAGCAAAGCAACAATACAAGTGATAAAGTAGTATTTGCAGCAAGCATCTTTGTTCGAGAAATCAATGAACATTAACGATCCGATAGCAACTACAAGAATCTAATGAATTAAGATGCAGCCTAAAGTTATGATCAAAGTAAAATTAAGATAAAATCAATTGTTTACTTTTATACCGACTTAATGTACCAAACAGAGAAAAAATTATAGTAAACTATGACATCATGATCACAAAATACATTACTAAAGCCAAAAGACAGACGACTGTTTTATTATTCAACATTGGGCAATCAGCAGGTATATTATCTACCTAGAGCTTTTAGCCTTAGTGAATATTTGCTTTGGGTTCTTTTCCTGGATTCCAGTTTTTTTGTACGTTTTGGAGGATCATCGTAAACCTGATCTATGAAGATGGAGATAGATCTATGTATGTCATAAAAATCACTTTTTTATATATTAATAAATGTGTTCCAAAAACCAAATCTTAAAATTTTTCCTTTGGAAATGAGAAAAAATTGTCACACGTACAGAGTAATTTAGCCATAATTGGACTTCGGGTCCACCCATGTAGTACTCCCTTTGTCGATGTGAAACTGAGTCACATCATTATGATGTCAGCAAACTATTTTGAATAGACATAATAAAAAAATGTCATTTATATAATTATTACAGTATTCTCATTTCTATTGATCAAAAAATTCAATAAACTACAAAATATAAGTAGAAGTGTTTATGAATTGTTTGACATAAATACGTATCTGACACGAATACAACTACTATTTTAAAGTATTTGTGCTTGGCATTAATCCTTATTTATACTAAATTACTAATCACAATCATAACTATATAGGAAACAAATCACCAAAGTGTTTATGTGTTGGTCTACGTACTTTGTCAGTTTGCTGCAGAATTTCATCATCGTTTGGGTGGAAGTATATTTTCCCACTCCGGTAAAGACCACATACAACAGCCTGAAATAATATTAAAGTAGAAAGCATAGATGAAAGTATATAAAAGGCAATTTCAGTCAAGAAATTACATTTGAAGAAAGCAATTACTTCTTGAAATTTATGTCTTATTCGCCTATATGTCAGTCCTTCTAGATTAGGCAAGCTGCAAAGATGGAATACATTTTCTGCACATGGAAATAAAAATTAGAATTCAGAATAAATACATGTGGATCAGCAAAAAAAAAAAAAAATCATAAAATATTTAACCAGTTTCAAATGTGAGGCAAAATATCCCAGTCTACTTTAGTATGAGGCCAACTAAACTAGGAAATGGAAACCAATACAAATTAAAGGCAAGACCAATAAAAAGGTTAAAATGGGGATCTTTAATATGTTCATTTACAATGATGAGAATTAATTAAAAAATAGAAACCCAAAAAATGGATAATTTGGTAGTTGCCGGGTCCAATTCACAAACTATCAAGAAACAATTTGAATTTATCTTATGTCTATTCTGAATTATTTGGGTAGAAAGTAAAACAAATATATAATACCATTATACAAAATTTTACAAATAGAAGAACAAGCAATCCTTACAAACATGACATGTATGACATGTAGAGAGCATAAATGCAGTACTTTGATAATTTAGCAAGTGCCTGTAGATCTTTATAAGCCCCTTCTGCCGAGAGCATTGAACAAATAATTTGGAAGCAACATTTTCTACTGGCTCTACTCTCAATGCTGAAATTGATTTCAGCAACTCACACGTCTTTGAACTTGAAACCTAAACTCATGAAGAAAAATTCAAATAAAGTTTATTCTCTGCGATTTTTTTTTTTTGCCTTTAGTTTCAGACAAAGCTGCTCATAAGTAACAAACCTCAACTATGGTGGGGACCGAATCCATATTTGGAATTGGTTGAAGGGCTAAAACAGAAAGAAATGCATCTGTGTCAACTTCATACCTAACATATAAACGATCTGAAATCAATAAACTTCATTAAAGTGAAAATCAGCACATGACAAAGGTCATATCAAGTAAAAATGAGTTACTCTACTAAAACTACTCCAGCTAGATATCGTGAACAATTGAACATTTTGAGGTTCATACTTACTACAACAAGTATTAAGCAGTTTAGTCATTTGGAGAGACAAAAGTGTGCGTGCTAGAAAGAAGAAGAGGACTGCCATAAAATGGGATGCAGTAACTTTGTAATTTATTAGGCAAAATGTGTGTACTTACACTAATAGATGTTAAACTCAAAATGATAGTTAAAACTGTGTTCTACTGCTGGAGAATTCTCAAATAAATATTGTTTAATACAAGTTAAAGCAAGCAGATATACCCCTATAAATTAGCTAAACTGCCATCTACAGCTAGACTATCCTAATTAAGAAAGTGTCAGTTTTACAACATATCAACTGCCAATCACATAGAATTTGCTGCTTTAAATGCCCAGTTATGAGATGATTACATGAATTTGCCAGTTTTAAATGATCAGCGAATTTGCCATAAATTTTGCTATGTGATTAAAGTGTCAATCAATTCCATTGACAATAAATACGTGTAGTACAAGTGTCACAGTTAGTACAAGTCCAGGTAAATATAAGTATCACACAATATTATTCTCTAATAGAATTGATTTCACCAACTGTTCAATCTCCTACATTATCTCATTGTTTTAGTCCTTGCATCCATCAAGAAACTCCTGAACAAAATTTGTGTTCGTATTTCTTAGGTTGTAGACTTGTAGCTGAAGAAAAAGAACAAATACCAAGCTTTTGTCATGGTGTTGAAATGTTTAGATGAACATAGCTTGTGAGATACCAACAGAACCATGTGTAGCTTACAGAAGATGTTGAAACTGAACTTAGTGATACAGAAATATAGGTTGTTTGAGGAAAGTTGAATTATTTGACAGTTATTTGGTCAGACATTATTTTTCTAGTGAATCTTGTAAGTCAATTTATGTCTTCACCATATACCACCCATTCAGAAGCTCTAACTGACAAGTAACATATCCTATGCACCAAAAGTTCAGTCTTGTATTCTATTTTCTATCAGGGTTAACCCGTCTTCATGGACAAGAAAGAAGAAATTAGCTGCAAGATATAGTGTTGAAGATGAGTATCATGTTATGGCACAAACAACTTGTGAGGGGCTGAGGATTCAACACTTGCTACCAAAAACCTTCCCAGCAAGATTATGAAATGGTAATCAGGCAGCCACACATACCTAGCAAGCAAGCATCTGGAAAATTTGTCTACGAAGACTCTTGAGTTGGAACTATTTTTAGTTGTAACAAGCTGGGTTTGATCAACGTTTATGATCTAGTTTGAGAAGTGTTAGAATGAGTCCCTGTTTCATTGGGATGTGGCCAGGCATACTCTAATAGACACTTGTAAACCAAGTTTTATGCATAAAGCCTTAAATAAATACACATGGAGCCTAATCATTCAGATTAGTGATTCCAACTTTCAGCCATCCCTCTCTACCTCTCTCTGCTCTTTTTAACACTTTCTAAAATTTCCATTACAACTTTAGCAGACACTAAAAATTAAAATTCAAGCCAATAACCATTATGCCAAAAATAATTATAGTAAAATTACAAATAACAGTTTCCTCTAACATCATTATATACCTTCAATATTAAATTCATGGAAATAAGTCAAACAATTTCAACTTAAACTGCATTATAACCATCCGTAAATTAACAAGTTATGTAGATCAACTCTTGTCTTACCGATCCCCTTTAGTAGGCAGTATAATTATTGCACGTGCCTTGTTGGCTGCTGCTCTTTCAAATGATTTTGTTAAACTAAGGCTGCAACTGCAAAGCCAGAAATTTCAAGTATGAGGCATGGAAGAGGATATGATTTTGCATTTTATCTTTATTTAGCAATATATATTATGGACAGTAAAGCCAGAAAATTAGCAATCCTTCGTTTGTAATTTTATTGGTGAATGTAATCTCTCCCCCACTATCCCACTTTATTTTACATTCTCCAAAATGAAGTTTTACCGAAATAAACCAAGCAGTACAAAATCTCAGGGTTAAGAAGCAAAGAATGAAAATCATAATTCCAGAAAAGGTGCTTCCATGATTAAAAAAGGAAATTGCCCATCTTAGATACCTCTTGGTAAGGACATCGATATGATTTAAATCTTTTGCAATGTTTTCAGCAATCCTATCAGTCTGTTTTCTTGGAAGATCAGACATAAGAAGGATTCTCTGCCTCCTGCATAGAAATGGAAAAGCATATTAAAGAAGCCAGCAATCAGAATACAAGATAAGGGCAATGGGAACTACCTTGTCTGAACCATTTACCTAGCTGTAGCAGTGCCTAAGCGAACAGCAAATTCATGATACTTATTTAGCTGCTTTAATATGAAGGGAAGATGACTATTCATCCCACAGATAATGATATGATCAGTCTCCAGAACTTGCATTTGGGCCCCCTCCCTCAGCTTTTGCATATTATTCTGTTGTGAAGACTGACAATTAATGGCATGCATAGAAAATATTGTTTTATGAATTCTTAATGCTTCAGACTTTACCCTAAATTGTTCTGTCATCGTACTTAGAAGGCGAGAGTAGAACAATATACCCCATATTGCAAGAAGAAAGCCAATAACACGCTCAATACGTGTTGATTGCTGTAGATCAATAAAAAGTATGTTATTTGATTGCACAGCAAATGCTTATAAACAATGTGAAAGGAGTCAATAGAAAACCAGAATATGAATTCCAAAGTAAGATCAACATACTTTTAAATGAGTGGAGGATGAACAAAGACATGCCCAGGCTTCCCAGAGACAATCTTCTAGAGAATTTTTACTACCCCTGGATAATTTAATATTGACCCAGATTAACAAGCATATATAAGCACAATGGCAGTGAACTCTAGTACTAGTCTGCCATAATTTCAAGCTGTCAGGGTCTAACTAGGTTGGTAGCAAAAGGAGAGTCATAAAAGTGAACTCAAAACACTCTTAAAACAGTGCATTTATCTATGATTACCTGAATTTGAAGAACAGGAGACCACCAATGACAACAAATGAGAAGCATGCTAAAAGGAGCACCACAAAGAACCTGAAAGAGTCCATATAATTATTTCTGACGAGCATGTATATCATTAGTAGTTTGTAACACAAACAAGACCCACTGGTTCCATTCACAGAAAAAAGCCACTCAATTTACATATCTTTATACCAGTTTTCAGACAAATTCTCAGACTCTCAAATTCAGTTAGCCTTCTTGGCCTCAAATAAGTGAGCTTCCTGGTCCTTTAGAATAGCTACATTAGAGTAATGCAAATGTTCCACAAGCATAGCACCCAAGGAAGCAACAAATTTTCCTATCCAAAGGTAACTGTGAGAATTGTATTGTTGCTTAAACTTTTTGTATTCTTCTCTAACCATATGCATTAAAGAAGCCCCCAAAAAAGTCATGTTTCCAGATAATCTTCCACTTTTTTTTCCTGAAAACTCCTGAGATAAATCACAACAGTTCTTCCAAAAGCCTCCAGGAGACTCGTGTCTTTTATATTTTTATAAACCGAACTATCTATTTCAAATCCACAAAGATAACAAATAATGAAAGAAAAGATTACAGTAATCCCAATGCCCATTCTTTCATAAATAAGTTGGTTTCTGTTTACAGTAAATTCATGAACATTATACACCATAACTAACAATTAAACGGTAAACAGATTATGAAGTCATCCTCACAACAAATAAACCACTTTAGCTTGACAGTACTCTAAAACCACACAGTATTGCAACTCATTTGCAAGATGACCCATATAGCTTGTTATTTGCCTTATAGCAATGTCATATTAACATTTTGATGCTGCTAAACTGATATAAACATAATTATCTGTCTTTCAAGGCTTCAGTTAAGTGAGGAGCTTAAGACTTACTAAACAACTAGTAGCTAGAATAGTTCTCAGCCAAATAAATGAAGTGATTAACTTACGTGGCAACATTTCTCTCAAGCTGGATGTTAAATAAGTACAACAACCGTGCTAAGCTCCATCTAATATCATGAAAAGAAGGCAAGGACACGTCTAATTGAAGAGGCTTAGGTTTATTCAAGGAATTAGAAATGCAAGCAAGAGGCAAGCTTGTCGCCCTAAGAGTCTGTAACATGTCTGAAAGTAATGGTTGGACAACTTTTATCATCAGATCAAGCAACTTGTTATGTGTCAATCTCAGTATGATGTACAATGACATAGATTGTATCATGCTTTTAGCCTGTGGACCCTGCAGCACATATGGTGTTTTGAGGGATTTATACTGCAAAGTCTAGCCAAATCCTAACAATACATCAATTTATCCAACATATTTGAGCATTATACAACCATGTTATTGATATGAACATATGAAGAGAACAAATTTTCAAATAATAATAAAAAAATTGACATGACCACAACTAAAATCATATCATTTTAATATCGTCGCAAATATAACCAAACAAATACAAGCCACCTTCATATAGTCCTTGTGTTTTCAAATGTAGAATCTTATAATTTTAGTACAACATTGCTTATAGATGCCACTTTAATTTAGTCCTTCTGTTTTCACAATGTTTGTTTACAATATCCGTCATCACCATTTACTAGTAATTTAAGTTTTTGCCAGAGCTCAATGTGAACCATATAATCAACCTCACATAGTAGAACAAGGCTTGGTTGTTGTGGTTCTTATCTGTCGTCACCATTTACAGAAGTAATAAATTCTCCAGGCAAGCATTTGATGTTTCTTGCCTTTGTCCATAATAGCTGAAGAAATTCCATCAATCTTACCAAGAATTGAACCTAAAAGCTAAAACACTATGACATGGTATAAGAGCCTCTATGAAAAAGTGGTTATTTGATCCTCATCACCCCTGTTTTTCTAAATAAAAGTTAGATTTTAGCACATGGTATGAATGGGCTAGTGCATTGTCCACAGTTCAAGCACAAAGGCCACTTGCATGAAGAGTGCATTGGATATGTAAACCATTCATGTATCTTTACCTAATATCTTAAGCTTAAGCTTTTGGGAGAGCTGATTCATGAAAGAATCCATAACAAGAATCAATTTACAAGCTAAAAACTTCAGCTGTTAGAAGAAGGTGTTTTTAGCGTATCTCTTGCAGTTCCAATATTGCAGTTTACCCTACATATTTTATCAAATGTTGCACGTAAACTTTGGCTGTAAGTCTTAAATAACATTTGATATTTTTCAAAGCGGACCTTCTCTAAATAAATTGTCATCAGACCATCCATTTTTATCACCACAACTCCCAACCAAGTGACTAGTGACTACATCGAATGATACTTATTTCTGTTCAAATTATAATTCTCAGCATCAACATTTATTATTACATTATGCCATTTTCCCCATTGGAAATACTCAGCTTATATGTCATGAGACTGATAATTGAAACATCATTTCCAAAAATATCCTTCCTTGTGTAAAAGAAAAGCAAAACATGAAATGTATTTTATAAGCAATCCTACGATGAGTTTCTTTTGGCCAATATCACTATCATTTATTTTACTTTCTCCTTTATCATGCACTATTGATGGGAATAAGAATAATGTGAAGGTCATTTACAGCTTTAAATATAGTTGCTTGCATGCACAACATGCTTTAAAACAAGGAATAAGGGGAAAAACTGAAATAATATTTATACATTGACACTAAATAAGATCCATTGTCAAATACAACTTTGAATTTCATGTTTGCAAAAATAAAAATAAAAAATTGCAGAGAATAAATACCAGCATGAAAGGAAAGAACAACGTGCACAGAATTTGAAGAAAATAAGATAATTACTACATATATCCCCCAACAAATTTATACCATTTTCCAAGTTCTCTCATACATTTCTTACCTGATCAGAACTACTATTATTTTTTTCCATGCAAATGGACTCAGTGCCCAAATTTTCTGAAACATGTTTGTAAGTGTTGGAATTTGACTTAACTTCTGATCTGTGAGAATCAGCCTCCCATCTCCCTACAGGGATTTCATCAATTCATCATTCAGTTTTAAGTAACAACATCCAATAAAATGTACAAACAAAAATCCAAATACTGAAAAAACGAAACAATCAATAGAAAATATTTCAAATCAAACAAGAAAGAGCATATATCATGGGAAACAGAAGATGCACAACAAAAAGCAAATATCAAAAACTGAAACAACGTAATTAAGTTCTCCCAGAAGAAAAGGAGGATTAAAGAATGACAAAAAAATTTTAGAGATCAAAAACCTGCGCTAAGACAACAGAGAAACTCATGGAGAGAAACATACCAGAAAAAAACAATTTTGAACCACAAAAAAGGAGACAGATAACTATTTATAACCATCTTACAAAAGAGAAATCCACACTTAAGAAGGCACTAAGATCAATGCGAGTAAACAAATAAATAAAACCCAAGATATGCTACACTGGAAATGAAGTTTTATGATTTTGACATTGTGAATCACTAATCATCATTTCACACTTGCTGAAGTTTCTTGGCGAGTTATATGCATATATCATGGGAGCAATCTGCAAGCAAGTGGAATCAATCTCCTTCTTTCTTTCTTAGGAAGCCAGAACAGTTAACAGATGATAGGCACACACAGGATATGTCAAGATATGTAGTAGAAAGAACAACATTGGATCACTCGTTTTAAAATTTCAGAGACACAAGAAGGGAATCTGTAAGTGTTTATAACACATTAAAACTAGTCACAAGACAACTATAAACTTATCAAACTATATGCACCTTTACCTAAATAAAAATACAGAGGACGAATAAGAAGCATGTAAACAGAAAAGTAAGAAAAAGAACTAAACATAGCATCTATGGCATTCAATTATTAGACATGGCTCTATGCCAGGTTATACACCTCAGCAAATAAAGTAACACCACATATTATCTAGGTCACAGAATGACAATGTTTGCAATCACTTGAAAGTTGAAGTCATCCCCCTTAATTGAAATATGATAATCACATTTATCAGTTTGTCAAAAATAATAATAATAATTCCATGTCCACGTAACTAGAGCTTCTGCAGAAATATTTTGTTGACAAAAGAAGTGACCAAGAGAAGAAACTTAAATCTGGAAACCAATTAGAGAGCCAAATAATGATCCCAGAAGCAAAAGCGGATAAAGAAAGTGAAAGAAAGAATCTCATCGACCAATTATAAGAAATATAATGAATTGCGGACACATAAAAAATGTCAAATGTAATCAGATTAATGGCAATGAGTAGATCAGTGACTCGAGCAGTAAACAACAAACAAAGTCATCGAAAACCACAAAATCACAGATAAACTACAAATCTACAGGCTTGAGACAAAGCAGTAACTCATAAAGTGAATAAGAGGCTAAGACCATTTTAAATGTACAGCAGTGAATAAAACGGCTTGGTTTGGTTGAGCGAAATTTGGATTATATCCTACATGCCAAGAACACCTTACCCTACAGAAACTCAACATAGACAAGTTTAAGATCTTGCATGCTCAAATAAGCAGCATTATTTCCACGGATAAAAAACTGAACAGAGAAACTCCACAATTTTCTCTCTTGACTCATGGAGCTCACCTTCACCATGCCCTCCAAGGCCACGCACATGCAAAGTTGAAGATTTGATCCAGCTGAATTGGCAGGGCACAAACCTCCTGTGCAGCAATTAAACAAAGAATCTTTCATACAGCACACTCATCCAAAACATATTTAACCAATTCAAAGGTTCTCTAATGCAAACCCATTAAAGACAACATGAAACCATCGTAAGGAACATAAATTGTCAAGCAATTGAACCATTTCTACTAAGGTCAAAGCCAATCCCAAATCCTACATTCATACACTCATACATAAGATGGAAGAGCACCTGGAATTGTTGGCGATTGATGAGAAGTGGGTGTGGATTGGGGGTAGAATCCATGGGTGGCAGGTCTGCAAGTGAAGGAGAAGCATAGTTGGTTGATCCAGTGGAAGAGATCAAAAGGGTCTGCCAAACACAAAAGATTTGTGTTCATTAATGAATGTGTTGGGTCATGGAGGGTTAAAACAACATGGTACAAAATCTAAAACATCTTAGAAATAAACGAATTCAAAAGCGTGACGTCACATAAAAACAAAAAAACCGTAACTGGAAGTGTGCACAATCCCTTTCTGGAATTTGGACATACTTTACTTAATAATTGAGTTGTAGAGTGATTCCCCAGTGGTCCATTGTTTAGTGATGGTTGAATCTGAAAACAATGTCTGGCTATAAATCAATATTTCTTCGATCACCGTTTATGGTACAGCTGGAGTTTATTAGTAACACTATTTACAAACTCCCACAGGCCACACTACTCCCAGTATTATCGTCACTCCTCGTCATCATTGCCATTTTTTAAATTCAGAGTCACACGATAAAAAAAAAAAAAAAAGTAATAGTTTCAATAAAATTTATAACATTTAACATTATTGATATATTAAATTCTGTATTTTTTACGTTATTGAAGGCACGTTAAAATTTGTAATAAAATTATTTTTTATTTTTCTATAAAAATAAGCTTTAAGTTATTCTTAGAAGAGTATATTGTGATTTAAATACGTTATATAATATTTGTTTGAATTTAATATATTACAATAAAATTAAACACACTGAAAAATATGCCAAAGGAATACTTACGCACGGTTTTTCCCTACAAATAAAAACATAAAAATGCGAAGAGAAATGGTACAGACTATGATTAATCAAAATATGTGGAAATAAAATTAAGAAAACTGATGCTTTGACAAATGAAGAAAGAAAATTAGAAAAAAAATGATTAATTTCGTGTAAGAGAAAAACTAGGTCTACCAGTTTCACCAATTCAGATTCTCCTCGTTTTTTTACTTTCCATTTTCTTGTCAATCTTCTCATCCAACTATTTAAAGTATTATTACAACAAAAAATTGATTTAAAATAATGAATGGTTAAAATAGTGTCTACTTTCTACATAAAGCGATGAGGATCCATTCTAAAGACTTGACATTCTGAGTGGGTCCATTGCAACATTAAAAACAAATGGGCAATTCCACTTGTATTGATTTGCCAGTGGCTTGTGTTTTTGTTTCGTTGTTCTGCTATAATGGTGGGGTTTATAGGTAGCACAGAGTTTATTTGTAGGTCAACATAGAGAGTGCAAAGTTAAATGAGGTGGATGCGCACGTGCCCTGCACCGTTATCATTTACTGTAACTACTAACTTGGTTGGGTTGGACCCTACCATCACCTTTTCCAATGTTTACATCAACACTATTTCACTGTACTCTGTTTTATGGTTAAACCAATTCAAACATGCATTGCTATCATCGTTGACACCATGTCACTTTTTATTTATATTGATTTTTGTTTAGCCTTTGTCATATAAAAGGCATTTTTTTATTTGTCTAAAATTACCAATAATGAATATTTTTACTAATTCGAGTCAAGCTGAATAAAAATATGATAAATAAATTTAACGCAGTTAAATTAACCTCTGCATTTGATTATAAGCATAAACAACATCAATGAACATTTTTCAGTATATAATTCAAATTCATTTTTACATATCTTAAATATACTTAATAATTTAAAAATTTTAAAATATAGTTATTTTAAAATCAAACGAGCACTCATTACCACACCATCCATAGTCTGCACGTTTTCTAGATTGGAAGTACAGCGTATTGTGCCTGCCACATTAAATGTGACCAAGCAGTTGTAAAGGACAAGAGGATGGGACCCAAGTTTAAATGTTTTCAATCCACTGAAGCTTGAAAAGTTTTGTTCGTCCAATCAATTCAACCCACTTAGCTCAATTTAATTTAATATTAAAACCTAATGAATTACAAGTTAAGTTGAGTATTTTCAAAGTTAAAACCTAACCTAATCTACCTCCATACATCTGATGATTAATATTGTGTATTGTTTTAAGTTGTGAGATTAATATTAAATTTTGTATTTTATAATTTATAAAAGTTTGTTGAAGTTTATTATTTACTTTATATTACTTTGAATTTTTATTTTAGAATTAATGGTTTTTTATTTAGTTTTAATAGATTTATTATTTGAAATGTTAAGATTAGCCCATTAATCTTACAAAAATATTAATTTTTATATAATAATATAGATGTTAATCCAATTGTCCAACCCATACATAGTCAAATCAATGAAAATAATAATAATTTAATTAAAACCGACTCAACATATATAACTCATGAAATTTTGATTTAGAATGATATTTTTTATATGAAAATTCATCTAATTCATGAACTTCCTATAGCACAGTATATATATTTCTTCACTGTTGAGAAAGAAAAAGAAAGAACAAAAAGTTAATGTTACATACCAAAAATAGAAGTAATTTTCCTATTTTGATGCATTAATATATTGGAAACTACATGTACTGTTTTCACAAGACCTTGTATTTTTGGTGATAAACAACAACAATATAAAATCTGTCCAAAACTGTTTATAGAGAAAAAAAAAATATTTTGAAGGGTGTTTTTTACTTATGTTGTATAGATTATTAAATGTGATGTTGTATTTCATATATAAGAAGCAATACACTGGGAAAAAAATAAAAGATAAAAGAAGATAATATATAAAAAAATGTTAAATAAGTTTATATTATAAATATAATGTAAGGTTGGTGACATGTAAATAAAATTGTTATTTTAGCATTTTTCTTTTCCTCCCATGTTTTCTTCACTGGCATAGCATTTGTTTCAGTTGAAAATTGACAATAATTACTATCATATAAAGATAAATATACAAAATATTGTCAATAAAAAAGTCAAGAGTTGCTTGCTTACAGCTTAATACTTGTATTTACAGTACTGGATCAGGATGAAATGTCTCTGACATGCCTTTAAGTAGCGTTAATAATGCATTATCTAATATATTTCTTTAATATCTTTTTAAATAATTTAAAATTCTTAAGAATTGTAAAATTAAATTATATGTATTATCAAATATGTGAATTTGCTTGTAAGAGATTATTTCAGCTTAATTTATAATCTTGAATTCGAGTGTCACATGATACAATAGTTTAACATATAGTGTTGAATTTAAATTTCGATAAATAAAAGTGTATTACAAGATTGCCTCTAATAAAAAATATTTAAAATCATATTTGTCGAGAGATTGAGAGTTAATTATTTTGTATTTCATGAGTTCGATGAAAGAAAATTATGTTTGCTTGTATTGAAAAATATATTGTGATATTATAAATAAATATTATTATTCTACTTTACGGTGAATATATTTATTTATTTATTAAAATTTTGAGTTTTCAATCATATTAAGAGTCATTTGTGTTAATTGTAAAAAAAATTGACAACTTCTTATCAATTATAAAATATAAATTTTAATATTTATTTCATAATACATATAAAATATAAATTTCAATATTTATTTCACAGTGCAAAATTTAAAAATTGAAAGATCAAATTACTTGTTAATTTTTAATTTTTTTTTTCAAAGAAATTGATGAGAAATCAAAATAGTGCAAAGTAAAATTTTGAAAGATAAAATGTTCATTACAGCTTATAAAATAAATTTTAAAAATTTCATAAAATTATGAAATGATAAAATAATTTTGCTTTTAAATTCCTTTCTTTAACTTTCATGAAAATATTAAATAAAAATATCGGCCCAAACACTACCGAAAGGTTCAACCCACGAACAAAGGAATTTTCTTGGGCTTCGGCCCAGTGACTCTATCCTGGTGAATGCCTCTAGGGCTTTTATTATTAGGCCTTTTGGCATTTTAATTCAGTTGTTGACCAAAAACCAACGACAAAATAACAAATTTAAGCGGCTCATATTTTTTTACCCGAACCATAAAAAGGATGTTCATATTTGACTAAAAAGTTAAAAGAAAGCATTTAACAGTACAAGTAATTTATGTTTGAGATTAAAATGGACATTTAACGTAAAGAAAATTCAAAATTAATTTGTTTTTAACAAAGCTGACATTTGAAAAAGAAAAAAGCAGTATGATAAGAAATATTTTTTATTATTAAGAGTTAAGATCTTATTAATATATGGAAGTTTTGTGCACCGGATATTTTTAAATTTTGGATAAATAATTTAATAAGAATAAATTCTTTGCTTTTGGTTAAAATTTTAAATTGATAGCTCTTTCTGTAATTTATATATTTACTTGCAATAAATCAATTACCTATTGATTGATTTTTATTCAATATTATAATCCCAACAAATTAATTACCTAATGAATTCAAGTTGACTTTGTTTCATAAAATGTAAAACCAAAAACCAAATCAATAGAGAGATTGAGTTCAATTGATTAAAATCGGATTGAAGTTAACTGTATGAAAGGAAAAAAAAAGAACTTGAATTAATTTAACTAGAAAAATTCAGTTTGTGAGATTTATGGAATTGGTGGGATCCAATGCATAGTCCTAATTGGTATAAAAATGTATGGTATTATTCAGTAACATTCTATATGATAATAGGAAAGGGTGTAAATAAATCTAAAATATCAAGATGTGTCCCTATTAATCAAAGGCATAGTTATCGTTTAAGAGAAAGGAAAAAGGGTTAATTTGACCTAAGTAATTGGAATAATTAGCAAGTTGTAAATATTTTATTGGTGCTCTTGAAATCAGTAACACAAACAGACACATTCTTCTTTTTATCTCTTAATCTTCAATCTTGTGCGTATCTTAAAGTAGGGACATCCTTTCAACTCGTCGCTTTCGGCGAAGCATTACAAGATGATTTCTTCTACGTTCAATGTCGGCACCGAAGTAAACTTGCCATTCCATGAACGTAGCTTCGAAGCATTTAGAAACTACACCGATAGAAATTTGTGACCTGCATAGATTTTTATTGAACAGATACTCGTGTCTACAAGAAAGCCCAAAAAATATCTTCTACATACAATACAAGCACCATCTTCGTGAGTGCTCCATTATCAGGATTCATTCAAACTCTTTTCATATTAATAAGTGTTTAGTTCATTTTTTTAATTAATTTTCTTTTCAAAATTCATCACCTCCACCACTGTTCTATGCACATATATTTATGTACGATTGTGTATGAATGGTGATTGGGTTATCCTTCATGCCCATATGAAACGCACTATCACGTCGATCGGAAGATAGCATTCCCGTTATATATATATATATATTGCGTGGCATTACAAGGGAACTGCCATAAGGTACTTTTAGGGGCTTGACAGCATTGGTGTCTAGTGACATACCCAATGCATTATTTGACACTTTAATTCCTGACAGCATACACCCAAAGCCAATTAATTGTAGCCACCTCTATTTCATATGGATATCATCCATCCTAGTTTCCCAAGAAGTTATGCTAATTTTATTTGATTGATCTTGTTTGATATTTTTGTATGTCATTTTCAATATATATACATATTGTCTATTTTATTATTATTTTTTGAATATTTTATATCATTAATTATTTTGAAATTTCTTTCTACATTAATATTTCTCTTTTTTTTATATCAAAATTTTATTTTAAGCTAAGGTTTTAAATTGTCAAATCTCAACTTTTATCAATTTTTATTTTTTGTCTCAAAGATTTATTCTATATTCTAAAATCAATATTTTTCCCTAAATTTTTAATTAAATGGAAAATAAAAAGCTCGCTAACATATCTTTACAATTGAAAGGAAAAACTTAAATGAGAGAAAGAAGCATATTTGGAGGGTTAACCACATGTAATAATTATGTTTTTGGCGTATAAAAATTGCATTTACAAGGTTGTTTGGTGGTTCCACCATTCAAATAGGTATATATGATCATGAGTTGTTTGAACATTACAATTTGACAACTTTGGTTTGCTATATAATTGATTCAATGGGGTGTCCATTTTTATCAACAACTAGACACCACATATCGTAGAAATTGCAGTTCTCTAATCTCTAGGCAGTTGTTGCTAATTCCTTTCAAATATTGTATGATTATGAACAGTAGTTTGATAAAAGAATTATACATATTGCAGGCCTTGAAGCCGTTCAAAGTTGCTGGTCCCCATAACATACTCTTGGATTGAAGCGACTATATTTCTTTCTCTTTTTTTTTCAAAATATGAACGAATTCGTCTCCTTTCCTCCACAAATCTAGAAGGTGCCTTTAGGGTAAGAAATTCCTCTTAATTCAAGTCCCCGAAATGAAGTGAGTTATCCAATAAATATACAAACTATATTTGTATTGACAAAAAAGTAATAGAAAGTGATTCTTCATAGCAACATTTAGCGAACTTGTTCATTTTATTTCTACTTTTCTCAAATATTATTTCAGGAGAGTTGCTACCTAGGCTATTAATATATTGATTTTGTTGATGTTAATTTTTGGGTAGATCGAACTTTAAATATATAATAATTTGTATTCTTATGTAATAAATAATTGTTTCGTATAATTAATGATGTAATCTTGCTAACTAATATTCTTAAAACATCAATTAAAAAACTACGAATAAAACAATTATTAAAAATTAAAAAAGAAATTTTTAATTTTAATTTTTAAACTCGTTTCCTTAAGATACTACTAGTATCTGCTTGCTTACATACATTTTGAAAAATATTCGAGACTTCAGTAAATTATTAAATATTTATCAATTTCATACGCACACAGTCTTATAATACACGCGTAAATTTAATCAGCCATTATTTTGCATGCATATAGGCACCGCCATAACAAAGTTGATCAGTAATTTTCATACATGGTATGGAATGGAACTAGGAAAGTGTGGACAATAGGAGTGGGATCTAAGAAGATGACAATCAACTAATCAATCACAAATTTTTGCAATAGAAAACATTAGCCCACCATTCTCGTACACAGCAGTTTTCTCCTTTTGTTCTCAAGATGAAAGAAACGAACACATATAAATTAATACACTGCAACTAAGCTACACACCTAAAAATGAAACGAAATAAAAAGTGACTCACAAGACAAGCGTCGACATTTCATGGTTTCTTCTCATCAGGATGATGTGACATATTCTGCAATGAATCCTTCACATGAGAAGAAAAAACACCACTCACACCACTACTCAGTCACTGTACAAGTGTACATAACATGACAATCACGAATCGTTGTGCCAAGAAAGTACAAGGTCTTGCAACGCAGCTTTCCAATCCCCCCAGTGAAGCTCTTCAAACTCTAAGCCACCTTCTACAACCTTCACTGCGACCAAAAGCAGTTGATGAGGCACAATCTCAAACATCTCAAATACCAAAGCCACTTTTCCTTTAACCAACCCAATTGCACTGTTATTCTTCCCAACCTCAACCTTAAACCCCAAAACCCCACCAACTTCCTTAACCTTCTCCTCCACAACCTCTACCTTCGCACTCGAAGTGAACCTCTTTTCCCTCCTATTCTCCCCATCCGACGCCGTTTCGAACAATCCCCTCAAATCCAAACCCGAAGACATCGATATTATATCAAACGCGTTCACACCCGAACCCTTCCCTTCGAAACTACCCTTACCCCACCCAAACGCGCTCTCTTCCGTCGTTTCCTCTCTCAGCGATTTCTTAAACCACGCGTTCCCAAACAGAGCCTCAAGGCTCATTCGCCTTTCCGGGTTCGGGTCAAGTAGCCGGTATATCACGAAACGTGCCGGTTTCGAAATACACTCCGGGAACTGGTAATCTCGCCGGCAAATCTTCTTGCACATCGCCGGAATGTTCGATTCGTCGAACGGCAGGTTACCGGCGAGGAACACGTAGAGGATTAGGCCGCAGGACCATGCGTCGGCCTTCGACCCGTCGTAACCGCCGCTGCGCCGGAGGATCTCCGGCGCTGTGTACGCCGGCGTGCCGCACGCGGTGTGGAGGAGGCCGTTATTGAGCTGCTCGGGGAGCGCGGAGAGGCCGAAGTCAGAGACCTTGAGGTTGCCGTCGCTGTCGACGAGGAGGTTCTGCGGCTTGAGATCGCGGTGCGCGACGCCGTTGCGGTGGCAGAAGCGGAGCGCGGAGACTAGCTGCTGGAAGTAGCGGCGCGCCGTGGACTCCGGTAACCGACCGCGCCGGTAGACTCGGGAGAAGAGCTCTCCGCCGGCGGCGAACTCCACGACGAGGTGTATCTTGGTCTTCGTGGCCATCACCTCGTGGATTCTGAGAATGTTTGGGTGGTGGTGGAGTCGGCGCATGGCGTCGATCTCGCGGATTATGCGGGGCTCCATGGCGGCGTCCACGGTCTTGGACTTGTCGATGATTTTGACGGCGACGGTGGAGCCGTCGATGAGGGAGCGCGCCTGGTACACCTTGGCGAAGCTGCCGCGGCCTAGGAATCGGGTTAGTTGGTACTTTCCGAGGATGGTGGCGGTTCGCGGTGGCGGCGACGATTGCTGCAATGGCGGTTCCATGGCTTAACAGAGAACAAGAAAACAGACCCACGGGACAAAGCGTTTGTGTGTGTGGAATTGGGTTTATATAGAAGTTTGGGGGTGGGTTTGTGATCTGTCACTGTCACGGCGAGACGTTATGAAATTCCATTCACCATTCATTTAAATATAGAAGAAATATATGATTTTACTGTTCTATACTTAGATTTTGCGTTATTATTAGTTCGTCTTTCTTATACTATTTATACGAGTATCAGATTATAAACAAGCTTTACTCTTTCTAGAGCCTTTTTTCAGAAAATAAAAATTTCATATTTTGTAAGTTAAATTTCTCCAAAACGGCGTGTTTCTCAGAATCTTAAAGCGCTTTGAGTTTAAAAATATATATAAACCAGGGTGGTGCATTAAAAAAGCAGGGGCACTAACACAAATTAACAAGTAGTAGTGTGTATAATGACTAAGTAGCGACAATGTAAATGATAAGCAAAAATATCATATAATAGTGGGTCTTTGTCATCTAATAAGCGATCTTTTTCACGAAAAGATTATAAAGACCATTGCAAGCTATTAGTACCGTTCATTGAGTCGTCCACTCTACAAGAATTGGATCTTTTCGCTTTCGCTTTATTTTTTGATAACGAAGAGGCGTGTGACTATCTGTAATTGGAATATGCAAAGCATATAATTAACTGGCAATCATCCATCCACCCAATTAAACCCTTAGTTTGTAGAAACACTCTTTCAAGACCACCTACCCCTTTTTAAGGTTCACGGATTCCCCATCATTGGGCCTCTGTCGGGCTTCTTTCTATGCCCTCCTTTTTTTTCATTAAAAAACACTTTTATAATATTAATTCATATTTTTGAATTTTTAAAGGTTAAATTAGTTTGAATGAAATATTTCAGGGATTCAACTAGGCAGGGATTTATTCTTAAAGCAACTCTAATGAGAGTTTTACCCTGAAATATAGTTTATTCTAGTATACTTGTTTGAGAGAAATGAAAAATTTTCAAGTTGTGTTTTTTAGACGATTATATTATATTTTATTTTGTTTATAAATAAGATTTACTTTACACTCCGATATTTACACTTAATATTTTGATAATTATAAATATTATATACATGTTAGACACGACTGAAAGAAGTAAAATAGAGTATACATTCCTTTTCAATTTAATTGTTTCTTTTAATATTTTATTACTTTTACATATCATGTTTTTAATCTGTAATTACATTCAACATTTTTTTTGTAACTTTTTTCCTTTTCCTATTTTTACTTTTATACTCCCCTAACAAAGTTAGTTGATTTATATTATATAAAAAACCTGTTTAAAAGATTTAAAATTCAATCTCAAATTATTTTTTAATTTATTTATTTACTGAGAAATCACTGTAAACAGTAATACAGTAGATTTTTTGTTTTTGGGTCAATGATAAATAAAAAACAAACTCCATGTTCCATGGAGGTGGAACCAGTTCAAGTACACAGAAGAGTAACGACAAATAGGCCTTCCATGCATTGACATTGCTGGAGTACAAAGTACTAACGGCGGCTTGTTTATATATTGTATTCATAAGAATCATCATGTGCTTTTTTAAGAAATTTTTCGAGGAGATTTAACACAACTAATAAAATGTTTAAAATATATTTAAATTTAAATATTAAAATGATTTCAATGTTATTTTAAATTCTTATTCAGTTCTACTTATAAATATTATCATACACGTTTGAAATATAACAAGGGTTGACCTAGCTAATTGTTGCGAAGAGTATTATACTCTTAATCAACAAGGATTGAAGACAAGTTGTTTATGAGCAACGTAGGTCGTGATTTATGAGCAATGCTGTTTGGTTCTGCATACAAAATCAGTAGATGTTCGTTTTAGTTTCGACCTACTTGCGTCATATTGTTCTGTGAGTTGCGTTGATATTAGCATAATAATTCATGAATGGTTGTATAAAAATATATTTATTATTAGCATAGTTTAGTTAGTTTTTTATAATATGTTTATTTGAGATAAATTAAACGAAGGCATATTATATAGATTTAAAATTATAAAAAATATAAATCGGAATTAAATAAAATGTCACTTTGGATGAACATGTGTCTTCTGTACGATGAATCCACATTTTACGAGTGTGTCATTATCCTTTTTACAGTGACACTAAAAGAATGGTATATTATAAATTACCCAATGGATTATATATGTAATCTTAATTTTTATGATAAAGTGTGGAGTTGATTCACTTATAAGAAACTGATAACAAAAGCCTTATTTATTTATTTGTTCAATTAAACGTCACTCTCTATCTTTTGTATAAAATAAGTGTTCTTTGTGTTTGGTACGATACATAAAATAAGATTGATGGCAACTAAGACATAGTTTTTGATTAGTAAGTTGCCAGCAAAGAGCCAAAAAACATGATTACTAATTTCATGATTAAGACTTTACCCATCTTTCCCACCGTCTGTTTTCGAATCAAATAACTAAAGATAAATATATTTTTTTAAAATTATAAGTGTTAAATATTTAAATCTTTAATTTTGAACAAATAATTTTAATTCATTTAAAAAATTTAATTTGTTTTTATTTTATTTTTATTATATTGTATAAAAATAATTAAAATAAATATTATTTTATATAAGTAGATATTAAAATATTTTTTTTGTAAAGTTAAGGACTGAAATAATCGACTCTTTGAAAGGTTAAAATAATTATTTATTTATTAATAAAAATATATTATGTCTTGTTTATTTAAAAATAATGTTAGTTTTTTTTATTATATATGTTCTGTTTCTTTTAATCCATTTATTTCCCTTTAAATTTTTTTTATTTATATAAACATTATTTTCATATTTTACTTAAATTTTAAACATTTTATACATTAGCTATAAATAAAAAAAAATTATAATTTAGAAGGGGCAGTTGATACGCTCATATAAATATTAATTTTATTATTTTAAAACAAGTTTCATTATCAATCTTTTTTAATTTTTATTGATTTTTATAACATTTTCTAATTTTATTTCTGTTTAGTAATAAATTTTACAATAAATTTCATTAATATAAAAAATCACACATTTAATAAATTTAATATTTATTAAGCAAGCTTGGAATTGATTATATATTATATTTAATAAATATCATTTTAATACTGTTTTTTAGTCATTTTGATAAACACGTTTGTGAAAAGAAAAAAAAAATTGTTCCAACTTGGTTTATTTGTTAGATAAGTTAAATTTTAAGTTTGGATTTGATTTGATAAAAAAAACAACATATATTTAATTTTTTAACTTATTTTTAACTCAAATATCTTATTTTTTGAATTATTTATAAGTTTATAAATATTAATACAATAGACATGTTTAGTGAGATAATTACTGTTTTAAAATTGTGAAAATTATGAATTTAAACTATATAATTATATATAAATAGTTACAATCAAAATTAGTTAATAATTATATTTTTTAAAGAAAGTAGTGTGTTTTTCTTTTAATTTTGATCGTGTAATAAGATTTAGTCATCTATGTTTATTATTCTTATTTTTATAATAATCAAATGTTCCCAACACATCCGATATATATGCGTTAATGCCATTCTTACCTCTTATTTTTACAGTACTTCTAAAAAAAGTTTGGAGTGTAATTTCTTTTTCTTAGAATGAATTTTGTGTAATTATTTTTATGAATTATTAAAAGATAAAAATATAAATTTATCTCTAATAATATGTAAAATTTAAATGTACTCATGACAATTTAATGTCAAAATATCATCCAACACCAATATGAAAACAAAATTAAGAAAAAATTCATAAAAAATATGAAAAATAAAAAATAACTTATCAAATTAAAAATGTCACATCATTAACATTTAATAAAAATATAATTAAAAATTTTAAATTATAAAGACTTTAAAAACTTAGAAAATTATAAAAATTACAGATTAATTTAACCTAATTTTAAAAATTAAAATATTTGTTTCAAATTTTAAGTAATATTATTTTTATAAAATCAGTTCATCTAAAGTTTAGTTTATAAAAATCCATCGAAATACTTAAAGAGAAGGTTTAACTTATTGTATTTAATAAGAGAAATATTAAAAAATGTGTATATGAAAATATAATATAATATGTAACATCATATACAATAATTATTTTCAGTGATTTAAATAAATTTTCTTATCTAATTAATTGTTTTATCGAGGTGATACGTTCCCGATAATCGAAAGTTACGATTTTTCAGAAATTATGACGCCATGAAAGCAAAAATATCTTGATTAAAGAAAGTGTTTGTTTTGCTACGCTAGATTGAAAAGCAAAACCAGAACGTAGGTGTGAAGTGTGACCAGCTTTGTGTTGCTTTAATGCTTAGAATTATTGGATTTGACGTTCTAATAAAGTTAAACCACTAAGAAGATGCTATTTGACGGCCATGTTCACTGCAGTTCGAGCATTAGATTTAGATATTATGTCATCGTCATATCTGATGTCACTCCTCAATGCTCCCTACATACAATTATTTAATATAACTAAAAAGTTTAAGTATTCTGCAAGTGTTCGAATATAGTTGTTAGACCTTAATTCAATATAAAGCATACTTTTTTTCAAAGAAAAAGGGTGTGAAGTTTCACATTTCTGAATTATTTAAACTGTTCATCATTTATTATGGTCAAAGATTATTCGATGTATATATATATTTTTCATGTCGGTGGTTTAAAACAAATTATTTAACATAAAATTTACTAATATCCCATTACTAGTGAAGATTGTTTCTATTAAACAGTTGCCACATCTATTTGTCATGAATGAATAGTGACTGTTTATGAATGCCTGTGTTTGGATTTGTTAAAATGATGCCCAGCTTATGGTCGACACTGGTCTAACTTATGGTTTGGTTTATTAGAAAATATCATTTTTTTGGAAAGTAATACCTTATTTCCATCCTCCTTTTACTATGGTTGACTCCTTTCTTCCTTGACTTCATACTCGAGTTACCTTCAAGCCTGTGCTAATCCAAAAGGAATAAAAGGAAAAAGAAGAAGAAAAGAGAAGTTTATTTCTTATGTTTGTTATGCACAAAACTTGGAGGTTTGTGTTTAGTTTTATTATATTTAGTGTGTAAAGGATTGCTAAGTTGTGTTTAATACTGCGCATGCATGTTTGATTTTTCATTGTATATTTATTATGCATTATTACTATGCTCTTGATATTTAACATCCTTAGACCTTTCATCTATAAATATTTGACAAAAGAAGAAGAAAGTAAAAGTTTATCTTGTTTTGTGTCATAGCAGTTGGATTGTAAGCCCAAATAAAATCTTTTGTGTTTTGTGCCTTGGGCCTTTGGGCTTTCATGTATCTTTGGGCTTTCATGTATGGATCCGCCAACAAAAAAGCAATTTTAGTTCATATATCTCAGCTTTGTTACTATGAATTCTTCAACAGTTTACTAGTACAAAAGTCGTCTTTCTACATTCTCAAAAACTAAACGTTTAATGCAAATTATAATCTATATGGCTATACGTCATTTGACTCATTGCCACTCAAAATGTTAAGACGTTGAAGCCCAAAGAAAACAGCTAAGAAAAAGTAACCATCAACTAATTAAATTCAACTTGACAAATTAGTACTCACTGTTGTCTCTTTTTGGGTGTTTCTAGTCCACTTAATCAACAAATATCAATCATACGAAATTTCGAGTGAAGTGAATTTAGAGATCAAGTCAAGTTACATGACCAAATCAACTAACCGCGTTCCCTGAACCGCATTTAACGTAGCCAAGTTTAATAATCAATAAACGAGCTAACTTTTGAGGAAAACAAAATCCACTTCTAGAGAAAATGTGTGTCACTGTTAAATTTTTTTTTTCAAACCATATATATGATGTTTTAGAAACTTAGAAAATCCTTGGAAAATGCAATTCCTGAAACTTAGACTTGCTCAAGTCAAGTGATCAAGTCGTCTCTGTGGCAAAAAAGATAATAACATACTATGCTTCTCAATTGTGAATGTCTCACTAGTTTGGAGCTTCTGCGAGGTATGTGATATTTCTACCACTCCCTTCTTCCCCGTTGCTGCTGCTGGGGCCTGGGGGTGATTCAAGACTTTGAATGAGACTATTATTTTTTTAATTATGATTATAAAAATGTGACTTGCAGTTCCTTGCTTTTTCCTTCAAAGTTGAGACTTCTGTGAGTTTGTTCTAATACTTGTATAAATATAATGTCTTTTCTTGTTTTCTTTAATTAGGCATTGAATTATGTCTTGATTTTCAGATCTGTGAGTCTATCTAAGTGCTAGTTTTTAGACTTTTTTTCCCTTCCATTTTGTTTACACATCTTGAAGTAACACCACTGTCCTCTGCATGTTAGAATTATGGTTGCTGCAGCTTAGGTACAGTTTTAGTTTGTTTTTATCAAGGATTCTTGGGTCTTCTTAAATTGTCCGTCAATAGAAAATAATTTTACATCTGGTATGCATCAGTTTTTTAGGTTGAATAAAGAGAGAAAATTATGGCAGTTATGATGAAATTGATTTTATCCTATTACAGGACACTCCACTCCTCAGTTTTGGCATGATTGTAGCATATATCAAGAATCTCTATCTTGGTAAATTAACTCTTTGATTTCTGTAGATATTGTCAAGGTCCTGTAATTTTTGTCAGATTGTTGTAACCACAAACTTCTATTTTCAATCAACTTCAACTGCTGAAGTTTGAGTTGAATATAGCAGTTCAATTAGGAATTTTCAGGTTAACACCAACAAGTACATAAGACCTCAACATTACAAGTGAAAGTTACATATGTTGCTAATATATTTACGGAATGGTTTTAGATAGTTAAATTAATGTTCTTTTAGTCAGTATCCTTTTCTTTTTGTTTAAAGGCTTGTTTTGGCTAATGAAGAATATTTTTTATGCTCTATAAGAGTATTGATTTAGAGGAATTTGATTCAGGGAAGAAGAGATGCAATTTGCGGGTGCAATAGTTTCAACTTCTGGGATATAGAAGGAGTTTTGTTTACACTGTTTGAGTAGAGAATTCAGTATAGAGTTTTCAATATGGTAGGATTGGAACTCATACCCATAGGTACAATTTTGACTGTGGTAACCAACCAGGTCTTGAAAACAGCTCACGCAGCATCTGATGTTCTTATTGGCAAAGAAGGTTTTAAGGCCCTTTCAAAATATCTATTTGATATTGAGCCAGTGCTAAAGGAATTACAGCTTCAAGAACTGAATGAGTCTCAAGCCGCTAGAGTTGCGCTGGAGTCTCTTGAAGCAGATGTTAAAAAGGCAAATAATTTGGTTGAGAAGTATGGGAACCGTGGCCGTTTTTTCTTACTGGTTAAGTGCCGATCCATAGTTCAGGAGGTTGAACAAGTCACAAGGGATATTGGAAAGTCTCTGGCTGCGTTGTCTATTGCAAATACTGAAGTCCTATCAAGAATTTCTGATCAGGTCAATAGACTAAAGAATGAGATGCAAATGGTGGAGTTTGAGGCTTCACAAGCTCAGCTTCAAATTGTTGACAAGTTGAACCAGGGACTAAGAGAACAGAAACATGATCAGGCCTTTGCAAATGACATGCTAGAGGAGATAGCAAGGGCAGTTGGGGTGCCAGTGGAACCCTCAGAGATAAGCAAAGAGTTGGCCAGCATTAGGAGGGAAAAAGAAGAAGCTGCCAACAGGAAAGAAAGAGCTGAATGTATTTTTTTGGAGCAGATCATTCAGTTACTATCTCGAGCCGATGCAGCGAGGGATTATGAAGAAGTGGAGAGGCAATACTTTGAAAGGGTTAAGGTGATAGAGAGATATGATTCTAGGGAAAAATACATCCCACCACTTAATCCTTTCCTTTGTTCCATAACTGAAGCTGTTATGGTAGATCCCGTCAGCCTTTGCACTGGTACTACATGTGAGAGATCTGCCATTGAAGCTTGGCTTTATGATGGCAAAAGGATAGACCCAGCAACCAAGGAGGTTCTTGAAGATACTACCTTGAGGTCTAACATTCCACTACGACAATCCATTGAAGAGTGGAGAGAACTTAATTACTGTCTCATAATAAGGTCTATCAGGGAAAATTTATTATCCAATTTAGACCTGCAAGAATCCTTAAGCCAAATGCAGGCTCTAATAAGAGAGAATTCTATTAACAAGGATTGGATTTCTATAGGAGAGCTTACTGATATTGTTATCTCTATCCTTGGGAGCTCTTATGACAAAGATGTGACAACGAAGATTTTGATTGCTTTGAAGGATGTTGTAGAAGGGCACGCGAGAAACAAGGTAGGCAAGCTTTTTCTTTTTCATGCTTCTTCAGTCAAATCACACACTTACAATTTATGATTTAGGGGGATGAATGGGAGACACACAGGTATTATAAATGTTAATATATATTTTCTTGATTATACTATGGTTGTATTTTGTTTATCATAAAGTTTTTAAAAAATTATATGTTGCTGATGCTTGTCGCGGCCCATTGATTTCATATGGCCATTTCCTATATTGATGTTTCTCTCACTGTTCCTGAATAGGAAGTGGACCAGTTTCACCATTGAGATATTCCTCAGTCCTTTTTATTGCCACACACACAGACACACACCAAACATGCAATCATAATGATCACTTTAAATTCAACATTTGCATAAAATTTTACAGGAGAAAGTGGCTGAATCTCAAGGATGGGATCATATTATTTCCTGCCTGGGGAGTGACTCTAGCATTTCAAAGGCAGCAATTGATCTGCTATATGAGCTGCTTCAAGAACGATCTGGTTGGAATAAATGTTTCTGCAAAAAACTTTCTGAAAATCGCACTGCAGTTCGTTTCCTTATCACCATTCTAAAGAATACTATCAACGATTCTGCTGAGGTTGCAGAAAAGATTTTACTGGAGCTTTTTGAACAAAACCAGGAGACTATCACTACTGCTGCTAATTTTGGCTGGTATAGACCACTTGTTGATTGCATGATTCGAGGTAAGAAGATGGATTATTTTCAACTTGTAATCAAATGAATATTTTTCATTACATGAAGTACATAATTGTGTAATTGGCATTGCAATGGTAAAAATGACAAGGATGCCATGTCCCCTCGCTATCTAAGGAAACATAGAATTGTCTTAAATTGTGAAGTATTTCGGTTTATAATTTTTTGTTTGAAACATGAAATGGATGCTTTGAAAACTTCTAGAAAATTGTTATTAAATATTTGTCTCATGGTTTCATAATCTCTTCCTATTGTAAACATGAAACAGTAGCGTTAATGGTAAACAAGGCCTCCTTGTAATGCCTATGAAAATCTTCAAGCAATGCACGTATCCTCTATTAAAAAAATCACTTTTAAGATCAGATGGTAGATGTTATATATTTTCTTCTATGTATGATGCATAACAATTTATCTATTTTGCTGTGGATGTAGTCAAATTAGGACCTTCTTTTTCCTTTAGTTTGTATCCTATAGATTTTTGTTGCACTGTGCACCAAATAAAGCAGCTGGTCCTGATTGATCACAATCCTTTAGACAGAAAGGTTACTTATATAGTAGATCATAAATAGTTGTTTCTCCTTGTTTATCTTCTCAGGACCAGATTCGAGAATGTTGATGGTAAAAGCCATAGTGAATTTGGAGTTGAATGATTTAAACTTGAAACTCCTTGGTGAGGAAGGAAGTATACCACCTTTGCTGGAAATGCTGTCGGGCGGTATTGAATCAAAAAACTTGTCATTATCAGCCCTGGTTAAACTAGCAGGATCTCATGCCAATAAGGGAATTATTGCTGCATCTGGAGGTGTTCCTCTTATTCTAGATTTAATGTTCTCTCCTCCCACAAGGACAGTCATTATCATTAAATGCGCTGAAATCCTTGAGAAGCTTTCTTCTGATGGTTATGGAATTGATTTCTTTGTTGATGGAGATGGGAAACAACTTGAGTTAGATTCCATCATCACTAATTTGCTAGCCTTGCAGCAGAATTCCAACTCAGGTCACAACTTCCGTAAGCCTGCACTTCGTGCTCTTCTTGGCATTTGCAAGTTTGAGACTGGTTTGGTTAAGAAAGCAATTCTTGCAGCCAATGGTGTATCTTTAATTCTTCCACTTCTTGATGATTCTGACTCAGAAATCCGGGAGACTGCCATAAACCTTCTCTTTCTTTTCTCTCAACATGAGCCAGAAGGAATAGTTGAATACCTCTTCAGGCCCAGAAGGCTGGAAGCTTTGATTGGATTTCTTGAGAATGAAGACAACGACAATGTACGGATGGCTGCTGCTGGTTTACTAGCTAACCTGCCAAAATCAGAACGAGAACTCACTATGAAGCTGATTGACTTGGGTGGACTTGATGCAATCATAAGCATTTTGAAAACGGGCAAGATGGAAGCAAAAGAAAACGCTCTCAGTGCACTCTTCAGGTTCACAGACCCCACAAATATTGAGTCACAGCGTGACTTGGTTAAACGCGGAATATATCCTATGCTTGTCAATTTTCTTAATACTGGTTCAGTCACTGCAAAGGCAAGAGCAGCAGCTTTCATTGGTGACCTTTCTATGAGCACTCCAAAGCTCACAGTTATTTCCAAACCAACTGGTTGCTGTTTTCTCAGATCATCACGTGTTCCTCTATGTTCAGCTCATGGGAGTGTATGTAGTGTGAGTACCACATTTTGTTTGTTGGAAGCAAATGCATTGCCTGGCTTGATAAAGCTGTTACATGGGGAGGTTCATGCAACTGCTTATGAAGCAATACAGACACTTTCTACATTGGTTTTGGAAGACTTTCCTCAAAGAGGAGCTCGTGTCTTGCATGATTCAAATGCAATAAGACCCCTATTGGATATATTGAATTGGGGAACTGATTCTCTCAAGGCAGAAGTTCTAGGACTATTGGAGAGGGTGTTTGTGTCAAGGGAAATGGTAGACTACTATGGAACAACTGCTAGATCACGCTTAATTGGTCTCACTGGCATGAATATATATGGGGATGGTCACCTCAGGAGAAAAGCTGCCAAGGTACTATCATTGCTTGAACGCTATTCAAAGTCATCATCATCTGCAATCTCTGGAGTTCTGGAGTGAAATTCTAGTCCCTTAAGTAGTAACTATTTGCTTCAACTCTATTCTAATTAACTTTCTCGATTTATATATAGGGTTCCTCTTGAAATTCAAATCAATTATCTGTATTTTGCTCTCTTTGTATTTTCTCACCTTTTTCGGTATTATTCTTTGTTAGTTAAAAATCCAATTTACTGTGTTAAATTAAATCAGGAGTAGTTTTGCTCAACTTGTACTGTGTATGTAGGTTTCCAAACTTTTAAAAGTGTAACTCATTTAATTGCCGCATCTATTGCTGCCATATGTTGAAAATTTCAGTCTGGGTTTATAAAAGATTGACTTATGTACTCATTGTCTCAAGGTCTTGGGATTGTATTTTGACGTCCTACTCATTGTAAGGATACCTACCTAAATATTCCTTCAACCCACACATGTGTGAGTGACATTAGATGAGCCATAGCAAAGAGCTAGTGACACCCACTTGTAGACCCAAAAAGTGTCATTGAGTGGATGATGCTTCACACTTGGGGAGTGAGTCCTACATAGAATGAGATATGAGTAAGTTAGGAGTTTATAAAGAGATAGACTCATGTACTCATTGTCTTTTAAAGTTTTAAAGTTTTTTGGGGTTGTATTGTGATATCCTATTGATTGTAAAGTTTCCTACTTAAATAAGGATCCCATAGGAAAAGGGAGAATGCTATAACTTGATAAACCAAAACTCAATTCAGGGTAGAAGCAAGAGGCACTCATACAATTTGCCATTACTTTCTTGTTCAAATTTTCATATATGTGTAGTGGGTGGGGGACATATTGACCAGAATCAAGGGTAGTGAAAGGTGGAAGATGTCTTGAAATAACTGTCTTACTCGTAGGCCACAGCTACGGCTAACATTTTCTGCATCAACCCAAATGCCGTGTCTTGATAACCCACTTGGATTAGCTAAGGTAAGATGGTAACAAAAAGCAAACATAAAACAATAAGATGCGTTACAAAGTCCCTGTCATTTGTATGTAACACGAACACTCCCCTCGGATTCTATATGAAAAATCAGTGTGACAGCACCAAAATTCAATATTGTCAGCAAGACAGCTAGTACGTTATAGATTGCAAGCTATACATCAAGTCAAGGTCCTTTGTTTATTTCACATTGATAATGGGTGGGTCTCTCTACCAACGCTTTATGCATTATATTCGACATTAAATTGGTAAAAAAAAACTAAAAAATTAAATTATGGAGTTTTATCATATGGTTCCGGTTTACTGTTTATTTTATGTGCAGCCCTTTAAGGGGTGTGGATCTTTTTAACTTGTCAAACAGACGTGTTCAAATGGAGTTGATTTCATTGATGTTATTATATCCATAAAAAAAGTTCATAGATTTATATAATTTCATTAAAAATATCTTTTTCTTTTTCTTTTTTTCTCTTCTTTACGCTTCTAGCGACTCACTTTTGGCTTTGTACCTGTTTATGTACTCAAAAATTAGATACAGATTCCATCTTTCTTTACGGACTCTGAAATTTGCACGAAAAGTAGCTCCTTCCTGCCTTGTACATGGCTTTCTGCATAATGAAATTTTTATCATTTTTTCTAATGTGCAGTCACACGATTAAAAAATTAAATATATTTCATTAAATGCTTTAAATAATTATAAAAAATATAGTAAATATTTTTTTATGATTTTACGATAATAAATATTTTTATTTTTAGTAAAAAATACTTTTAACTTCTTAATATATGTCTTTAGATACATATTAAAAAAATAAATTTTTTAAATGGCATATATCCTCTATTTTAAAAAAATTATTCTGTTCATTTTCTGTGATGGCTGCTTATAGGCTCCCAGAGGTCATATTCATATTTATTTGTTATTACTCAATCGTGTAGTTGAAACATTGGAACGCTCCTGTAGCTGATGAAAAATATTGTAATGAAATTATTCCTACCTAAGGTTAGTTTGGAGATGGTTTATTACAACTTTTTCCAATTGACCTTTTGCTAATCTTCTTAACATATCCTTTATTGTAATTGTGTAATAGATACTTTGTAATCTATAAATTCATCAATACAATAAAGAAGTGCAGCCAACTGTCACGTGTCAACATGTTAAATTTGATGTTTTGATGTGCATTTTTCCATGTAAACCCATGCTCTGTTAATTTGATGCTAATTTTATTCATAAATCTCCGAATATATACGTGCATGATTATATCTTCGGCCTCTATTAGTTTAGCATATTGTTTTATGATCCTACGCATGTGAATTATACTACGTTATATTAACATCTTTGGATGTCGAATCCTACCCTGAACCTCAGAACTCACATTCCTCATGGTTAATTGAGTGATAACCAAGAAGGGTCCTAAGAAAAATGTTTCAACATTTATGATGCTATTTTAGAAACTACTCCTTCAGCTTGCCACACCCATGTTACAGGATGATTGAATAGAAGTGAGAGTAGAGGATGTAATAACACATAATAAGCACTTATTACTTTGAGAGAGAGGATGTTGTCACCCAAGTCAGCAAGACAGCAACAACACCAATAACATTAACTCCGAAGCAGCAAGATATCTAGGTCGATCGAGACCTCATGCAATGTAGCAGTTCAAATCGCAACAATATAGCTATTATGAGAGTTGTGATGAGAAGGAAAGAGGAGTCAATATATATTTTTAAAAAATCAAAATCAAAATACGAGGGTTACACAGTATATATGATTTTCATTATAAATTTATAATTGATGTTAAAATTTAGCTCTCTTCTAAATTTTAAAAATTTTAAAATATTTATAAAAAGTAATAAGGAAGAAATTTTAATACCCTATAATCTCTCATTTTTCTCTTCGTTCTCGGTACTTGAATATTGGGAGTGACCTAACACTATTTTCAGTGATTGTTCTTATTGTGTGGTGACTCTCTAACGGTGTGAGTTGGGAATGACTTGTCAAGGGAGAAGAAGGAGACTTTATTCAAGAAACATTGCAACGTTCAAGTTAAAAAGAATTTGGATGATGATATTTGTGGGCATAAGTTTGAAGATCCTAACATTCCAACATCCTTATGCTGTTTCCTTCCTTCATATAGGCATTGCTTTTTTCAAGTTTTGATCTTTTATCGTAGCACTGTAACACTGAAATTAGTCACTGGACTAATATCTGTGTAGTAAGGATTTCTTTAATGTGACTAGACACTTTTTACGAGATTTTAGATGGTTAAACCCTCTTATAATTAAAAATTAGACACACAATTCACGTTGATCAATGAGACAGATCCTATAAATATTTGCTTAGTTGTATGATCGAGTCATGTAGATCATGGACTAATTGGAGTAATCCTAACCAAAGTGGCAATAGGATATCTATATCTCTACGGCTGCTGTTAGGGGTAAGCCTTATCATTTTCAAAATAAATTTTAACTATTACATGAAACTTTTTCTTTCCCCATAAATATTTTGCCTATACATTTCCCTCCGGCCATTCTTTTCCTCAAGTCATGGTCATGGCATGGACCTCCTTCCTAATAAATGTAATGTCAAAGGAATCTATCTATGAACAAGCAATAAATGACATAATGAGAAGTCAAGGCTTCAAATATATAGGTGGGCAGTAACAGGTACTATCTTCCCTAGTTATTGCCAAGTAGCGTTCAACATATATTCACAAATGTTACAATTTATGATTGATACCCTTCTACTGTAACAAATAGGTGTGCAGTAACGGATATTTCTTCCCTAATTATTGCCAAGAAGCATTTCAACATTGCCAATACATAATCTATGTTGGAGAGGCTCTGCGATGGATATCCTTATACAGTTATATTTATTTAGAAGGATGACTAAAGAGTACATTTCAGTGCTTAAACAATAATATCTCTGGAATGATAAAGACTTGCAAGAGATATTATCGTATGCTAGCTCTGTAGGCAAACAATTATTGGGGTAGCTGGTAACATCATTCTTCATGGAGGAGTATAGAATGAAGGGCTATTTTTAGTGAATTCTTCGTATATGTCTTCACTGAGATTACAACCAAAATGGGGAATCCTCACTACGTCACGACGATATTTTATACTCATGCAGTTATTTTTCCTGAGAGAATAGGATTTTATGATATTTGCAGTATGAAAAAATTACCCTTTTCTTATATTCAAATATTATATATATATAAGACAATATTGTTCAAGCAAGAAGAATCATTATGTGACAAAAATTTCTTTTTAAATATTTAAAGTTGTTTCATATTTAAGACATAAATTAAATTAAAAAAATTTAATTTACATTTTGAGAAAAAATAAATTTCATATTCTCAAACAAAATGAATCTCATATTGAAAGAATATGAGAATTTTATTTTTTTAAAAAAAATTCAAATTAGTCAATGATATTTAAGTTCAATTTGGATAAATTTTTAGAAATTTTTTTATAGGAGATAAAAATCATAAAAATAAATAAAATTTCTTTTATAAGTTAAAAAAATTATTTTTTAAAATTTAGAGAAATTAAATGAAAGAGCTTATAAAAAAATTAGAGATAATTTTTTTTTATTTTTTTATATTAATGTTTTTAAAAAAGAAATTTTTAGAAATTTATACAAATTAAATCTTATATGAAATATGTTTTTCTTGAAATATATTTTTATTTCACATATTTACAAATAACTAATAATCTCTAATCTAATTTAATATAGATAAAATATAGTTCGTGCACGCAATTATCAACTTTTGTACCCCTGGTTCGTCAAATCTTTGGCAGTTTGGCTAACCACTACAATTTTTTTAGTCAAATTGCAAAGTGCGTGCATACATATACAACGCTATACACAGAAATGTGTTATTATCAAAATAAAATTGTTAAATAATTTGTATTACTAATATTTCTTTTTAAGTGATAAAAAAATAAAAATTTATCATAATTGTTTATCTATCAGTTATTGTATTAATATTCTTGCAATAATATTTTTTAACCGTCAATATTTTATAATTAAGTCTTAGCTCTGAAAATATAGTTTTAAGAGTTTGTCTATATTTTCTTATCCAATCTGACCAAAATTTTAACAATCACATGTATGTATTTTTTTAATTTAAAATATATATCACTGGAAGTATCGCTATCCAAGGATATCACCAAAATTTGTTTTATTCCCTAATATTTTTCTTGATGTCTCATTCATCTTTGATTATAACTGGTTTTTGCACCTGGCAAGGACACCGATACTAAAACGATTAAATGGAGTTATTTGCTACATTTTTATTAAGCATTATAAGTATCTAATCAGTCATTTATCATTTATTAATTATATTTAATGCATTTTATAACTGATAAATATGTTATCGCTTGAGGC